AGCCCAAAAGTGAGCACCTCGCCGACAACCCGGTCAACACTGGTGCTGCCAAATCTTATTCTGCAACCACTGTTACAGAATCAGACTCCCACCACCAAGTATGTCCCGATGAGCTCACTGATGATTCTGGCTGCCCTGCAAATTCGACAGCACCACATGCAATCCATACAAGCCTGCAATCGCTAGCGCTCGCTTGCAAGCAACGCTTTCAAATAAGCACAGCACCAGGGAGAGCGATACTTCTGAGCAGGTGAGTCGTGCACCTTGGACTACACTGGAGATCCATAGATTGCACAAGGTACGGCCGACTCGGGTCCAGGCATCACCCTCATCATCAGAGTGGCTGTCCTGCTCCTGGTCCGGCCGAGCACAGCGAAAGCTTGCGGAATCGTGCGAACTCACACCCGACCAAACTAAGTTAAAACGCTATCAACTCCTTGCCTCATCTGTCTGACTGCGTCGTCGGCTGCAGAAGTTCAAAGCAGCGATGGCACCTAAATACACCCAAAACAAGTGCATTCGGTGCCCATGCCTGTCTGCATCCCAGGTGGCCCACTGCAAAGGCGGTGACAGCTCAGTCCTGGAAGCGGAAGTGATAAATTTACTGGCTTGACAAAGGCTGAACATTGCCCAAGTTGGTTCCAGCTCGCCTTCACCCACGCGAACACCAAGGGCTGCAAGCTCCTGTCGTCTTCGCAGATCTTACCTTCACCCTTGGTCCGCACATGTCTCCTCTGGTCGAACCAAGAAGAAAAGGACCGCGGCTGCCACCGCACCTGCGGCCTGTACAGAATCAAATTCAATGCTGGCCACGATGTCAGTAATAAATTACATTGGGGCTCTGGTTCGCCAGTCAGATATATACCACCCTCGGATGCTCCAATTCGGGTGCACGTCTGGAACTTCAGGAGCACTGCAGAGACCAAAGAGCTCGTGAGGACAGATGAGCACAGAATCAGAATCATGCTAGCCTGTGCCGCAGCCAGAAGCAGCGAACGCCCAGCGTGATGGCCTGAAGCAATCTTCGCTGGCTCCAGGTGCCAGCACGGGCGCCAGCACGTATCTGCGATTATCTGCGTGTCTGCGCGCCAAAGCTCCGAAAGGAGCGTGAAGCCTTCGCCGCCAAAGATGCAGAAGCCCACGGTGATGGCAGGATTCAGGAGCCTTCTTCCGGTGGTAGTGCCCGTCTGTTCCGTGAGATTGCAACAGCGCTACTTTGCATAAGGAGTTTCAACCTGGCCAGGCTGGCCCTCCCGAAACCTCGCTACAAGGTGGCCCACCTGCAATGTAAAGACATACCACATGCATTTTCACATATTTTCACTCTACTTTTCATGCATTCTCCAAAGCTCATGGAAGCCCAGCAAGGCCGCGACCAGCAATCAGGACCAGGCCAATTGCAAGGGCGAAGAACTGATTCCTTCATGGACTTCATCGGGCTTCCATGGGCCCGAAACGCTCTACATCTGGGTCTGTGAAAGGGTAGGTCTGTCCTGAAACCTCTGGGATTGTTCTCTAGGGACGCAATGCAATTGAGAGCCACGAAGCAATACATGGCGCTGTAGATACCCTGGCCGGAGAGCATTGAAAATGCAAGTGAAGGCCGCAGCTCACAACTCGCACAAATACCATGAAAGCTGAGAGCCTCAACGAGGCCAGCATCCAGAAAGTTGTAGTAGGACTGCAAGGCCGAGAGGGGCTCGGAGAGGGGCTTTGAGCGTGCTTACAGCGGTGTGCGCACACGGAATCACCCTGTTACTGGGTAAGACATGTGGATTCACTGGAGCCTTGGGCTCAACTGCCGGAAGCTCCTTCTGCATGATCACGCGCACTGTGCCACAAGCTGCCACGCCGGCAGCAATCTCCCAGGATGCCGCTAGTCCAATCAGCAGCATGACATCGTGTGTCGCTGTTACACACTTCCATTTCTTCAACGAAACTTGGCCTGAAGAAATATATACGTCCAAACGCGACCCCAGTACATCTTCCTGGACCTGGGGATTCCAAGTTGCAAGTGACTTTTTGGCAGCACAGACAAACCATGACAAACCTCTCAGCATCGCGCAAACCAAATGCCAGCGAAACAGCTGGGTTCAAGTGGCCTGAGAACGTATTGGCGTCGCTAAAGACAACAGGGTCTGAGTAGGACCGAAATTTGAGGACAGGGCTTCCAGACACTGCACTTGTTGCTGATATGGATGCAATGGTGGCGAACCTTTCAAGGGGTTGTATCTGTCTTGCTGCCAGCAAAACCAACAGCCTTATGTCACACAGCAGCGAGAGGAGATCACTATTTTCATCAATCAATGCAAACCCCGCCTCACAAAGCCACTTTGGGCCAGCTGTTACGCGGCGCTTTACTGCTGGAAACATCAATATGTTCCAGCAGCCCAGGAGACATGAGCTGGCTGTGAGACGTAGAAAACGTTTACTTCTGCACAAACGTGCTCATTGTCAATTGTCAAGCGATGATGTCAGAGAGCAGCATGGGTTGCCATCGGTAGCACCTGAAGCCAACTTTCACAATGCAAGTCTAACCATGCTAGCTGGCAGGTCCGACACAAGGCACATCTTAACAAGTAGCTGAGGATCTGTTTTTCTGGAGACCTCGCCCTTGATGTGGTAAACATGCAAAGGGCTCAACTCCTGAAAGGCCATTCTCGCTCTCTCCATCTCTCTCTCCTCAACTTGGGCTTGAAACAACGGCGCAGAAGGCGTCCGAAGGCGTCCTCCAGAAGCTCAAGCTGGAAACCTGATTCCAAAAGCCCCTGCGTCTCATAAAGAGGGTTCTGCCGCAAGTTGTCTGGTAGGTTGCCTGACAACAGCATTGCCACAAAAGGACCGTGCGCAACAATCTCACCTACGTGCATGCCCCTACCTAAACCGCCCGGCATGCACTTACTACCCTCTTCCTTTCTTTCTTTCTTCAGCGACAAGAATCAGAACTCAAAAGAACAGGCCTGGACTGCCCAGCATTTTGCTCACCTTCGGCGGCTGTCACACTGTGCACAGATCTTCATGTCAGGCTCGTGTGGGTTTAGCGGGGTTGGGTCAGCGATGGTCAGCGTCTTGTAGTCGAGAGCCGAGGCGCAATGGCGCTACAGAGCTCTTGCGCTTCGACGCATTCCTCAACCGGAATAAGCGCCAGAGCCTTCTTGCCGGATGCGCTGTCCTCAGCACTCATGTATCATGCGTGCGATTCGCATGATGTGCCCTGATCAATTGAATGCTCGCTGCCTTGCTGAAGAGCAGGATCATCGCCTGAAAAAAACTCAGCGCAGTCTATCGATGCCCATCGGCCAGGACAGCTGCCTACTGGACCCGCCTGGTAGCCACGGTCTCTTGCCAAACCTTGAGCTGCTTCTACGACTCCGGAAGATCGGCCAGCTTTCGCACAGATCTCCAGAAGTGTACCAAACATGCTTGCGAAGGCCACCTGGACACCGTAGCTGTAGACTGGTGTCACGCTTTCAAGGAACGGTACTGCAACGTTTCCCGTTTTGTTGCTTCCGAGAAGCATTCAGCCCCCGCAAGGATGCCACCTTCGTGTCTAGCAGCATCAAGTCGCGGACGGATAAATGAGAAACATCTTTCCTCGCGTTCATGAGCTCTTTATACCTCGGGTCAAGGACTGAAAACTTGAAATGTGCACACATGGGACACGTCAGAGCACTTCAGCGTTCAGAGCATGGTCCCCGGATCCCCCCCCCACTCAATGAGAAGCGCGCCAGGTCTTGGTCCCCTTGGCTGGAACCAGGCCGTGGAGTTTGTCCATAACTGCTCGATCTCTATCTGTACCTTAGTACTATATAGTAGTGGTGTACTGCGGATACAGCGGCGAACTGCGGCGGCGAACTGCTTGGTTTTGCCGCTTGGCCCTCTTGTTGAGGTCCGGTCTCAGGAACAAACTATTGTTTGTCACCAGCCATGTGCATGCGCCACCAGCTAAAGTAACACGCTACCCCATTTTCATAGAGCTGTCGCACATTGCCGATTCGAACCGCGACCCGGGAACCAAACCGAAAACGAAGCGAACCGAACGTTGAAATGAAGGCAAAAACGATCTTTTGCTTGAGTGGCACAGCCACAGCGAAAACTCGGCAGAAGAGCACGGTGGGCTGCAGCTAGCACGATGAGGCAGAGAAAAGACCCAAGCCAACACAGGCGAGCATCAGCGCATCACGACGAGCTCGAACCACGGCACGGTGCCAGAGGCCAGTTTCGAGGCTTTTCCGCCCCGAAGTGCCGAATTGTTGACTTCCCTCCGATTGGTGGAATATGATGGAACGCGCTCCCCAAGCTCCACACATGGCAGACATTGGCAGACCAAATGCGCCTGAAAACATGAACCCACGAACTTGTGAACCCAATGGCCCGACACTTTAAAGCGGATGGGGGTTTAGCTGCGAATGGACGTGTTTTCCACTTGATGGGCCGGGTATTGTCAAGCCCTTTCGGAAAATCCAGAGGGTAGAGCTAGACAAACGAATTTGAGGATTCCCGAAGGTCCAGGCTGCGAAGAGGATGCCCTCTTGCAGGCAAGGGTCCTTTCTTTTCCTTCTCATCAAAGTTTCGACAGTCAAGAAGGATCACGCCCGCCAGCAGAATGCCCAGCTCTGACTTCTCGGAGCTCCTCCGCTTTGAAGTGCAAGGCAAAGGCTTCGGCTTCCGAAAAGAGCGAAGCGATCGCGCCTCTGCAGGAACTGCTCTGCCACCTTTCCGAACAAGGGAGCTGCGCGTGCGACATGCAGCTTGCTGCAGATTGGGCTAAGGCAGCTAAGCTGCGGACCAGGGAACAGCACGAACCCAGGCCCTCATCGATGTCATTGCGTGCATCTGGATACTGGATCCCTCCAGCATGATGGTCCATTACCTGATCTGGAGAGTCCAGCGTTCAGGTCAGCAACCGTGAATCACCCTAAGGTCCTAGTAGGGCAGCTCATGTGCCATCTCGGACCCTGGCCCACTCTACTCGTCCGTCAAAATGGCTGGCCACTTGCGACGTCATCTTGTTGTGGTCTGTGAGAACAATAGATCGGCTGGCAAGTGCATCCACAGCAGGCCAATCCATTTCATCCCAGAAATGAAGACGTTCCGGGCTTCCATCCTCGCTTGCGCTTTACAAGTGCTGCAGCGAAAGCCAGGTGGAAGAGCACCGTCGAGAAATCAGGTGATATGAGGGTTTGAGGGTTTAAGGCTAAGGTTTACTTGGGTTCTGGTGTAGGGCATAAGGTTTAGCACTTTAGCACTTCAGGATTTATTCTAGGGTTTAGGGTTCGGCGAGGCGCCAAGCTCGTGACTGTCTGCACTTTGGGAATACGAACAAGATACCAGGCGCGGCACTCTTGGAACAGGAAGAAGATACGAGGCACGAGGCTCCAAAAGTGACTACAGTCCGTGTGGCATGGGGAGACCCCGGGGGGGGGGGGGGGGTCCGGGTAAGGCTGGAAGCCCGGGATAATTATAATGTATTTCCGTATCCTTGTTCAGATGCAGCTGCTGAAAGACAAAGAGAGACAGGGGCTGAATCTGACTTAAGGGTTGGGGAGGGGAAAGGGGAGGGGATATCCAGCTCCTCAATCTCTCACACCCGTCCAAGAACACTGCCAAAGAATCGTCTGCTCTCATGTCCATCCGCTATCAAGGCTCTTCTCGCACAGGGCTGCCTGCCTCCTTGAAAAGTGCCAGAGCATCCCCTCGCAATCGGAACTCTTCCCGTGGAATCTGCGCCAACGCGATGCCCTGCACCTCTGGACTCTCCAGGAGCTGGGCTGTGACATACCTTGCCAATCACAGTGTTTTTGGAAGAGCCCTACCAGTACAGTGCACTACAGCAAAACCGCTGTATAAGAAACCATTGTATAAGCAACTAAGACCCTAGATCCAAGGATTTTGGTCGACTTGCGGTTGCCTTTTAGCTAAGAAACCTAGGGTACCCTAGTGTTGGGTGTGCTACTTTCTTAAAATCGCGCCTGCGAAGCTGGCCAAAAGAGCCTTTCGGGAAATATTGCGGCCCAGTGCAATCGTGACTCCCCCGCGCCTCTCTGGCCTGACCCTACCCCAAAACGCGCGGGAGTCACATTCTAGAGGTTTTCAGCCCTGAGAAGCTCTAGAACGTGACTCCCCCGCCTCTCTGGCCTGACCCCACCTGACCGGTGCTTCCGATTCAGGATTTGTGGGCGCAGGGTTTTACTTAGATCGCGCGGAGCAGCTTCTGAAGCCCAGACCCCCGGCCCGCTGTACCTGGAACATGGGTTTGGTCTAGTGGTATAGCGTACTCCTTTAAGAAACGAATTAAGAAACCAAGACTACTCTAGTTCAAATCCCCCTGGGTACATAGGTGAATGGAAATTTAGAAACTTAGGGAAACCGTTTTCTTATACAGCGTTTTTACTGTACCTTGACCTTCAACCTTGCAAGATTGGAGTGCCAAGCGGAACTCGGTGTAGCCCAGGGGCGCTGACACCAGGGAGTCTACATCAGCAGCTTCGTTGCCAACGACGAAGACGGGTCGCTTGCTTGTATCAAAGCGGAAAGCTGCTGGACTTGCCATCCTTCGCATACGCAAGCTTGAAACGCTTATATGCAAGCTTGACAAGCCTTTATCACAAGCACAAGATCACGACAAGCGTGCCTTGAGCAGAACCTGGCTGCGCGACTGCTGGCAGCGCAAGCCACGGCACCACGAAAGCCAACAGACAGCCGCAATGCCCACAGGGTCTGCCAAGTCCAAGAACGATCGTGGCCCAAGCCTCACATGCAATCAAAAGTCAAAAGCTGCACCGGCGTTTCCCGTCTATTAGTCAGCACACGCGCGCCCGTGCCCATGGCCGGCCTGCACGGCTTGGTTTGCAGGATCGGCGCAAGCTACAGCGGAAACACTCCGAGTGTGCGGGAGACTGCGCTAGGGCCCCTAGGGCCATGCCGAGCCTCTTGTAGCAACAAAGCGCGCGAGTGAAGAGTGTGGCGGTTTCTCAAAACAGCCCTGGCTGATTCCGCACGGCCCATGTCCATGCAGATGCAGCTATATGGATGAAGCCCTGCATCTTAAGCTGCTGGCGCCATCCCAGATGCACGCCAAGCCCATGATCCGACAATAGCCTCATCTCCTGAAATGACGGCACCCATTAAAGCTCAAGAGTGGCGTTGCCAAGAACGCCGCCACGATGACTAAGATTCCGGCTCACCATGAGCAAACTGGACGTAAAGGCTACGAAGAAGGTTCCTACCAAGTGAAAGGACGATGGGTGGATGCTAGCAAACGTACTACATCGTACTGCTGTAGTTGACAGACCCTCCCAAGGCCTAGAAACTCAGCGAAATATGTAGCGAAAGGCAGCACATACTCGGAAAGCTGTACTGGCATGACCTGAGCGGCTGCACAAAGAGAACTGTCACCAAGAGCACTGTTGATGTGGCTGCTGTCAAGGACTGAGAATTGGACCTCGTTATCGGATAGATCGCCCGCAGAGGTGGTTCCACCTCGCCACTCGAAACAAGTTCGCCCGCAGCAGTAATCCTGAATCTGCTACGTGAAAGCCTGAGACGCCGGCGCGGCTGTGCTGCTGGAGATTCCTAGTAAAGCTAAGCCACGTCGGCGAAAGTGGGCAAAATCTCAACATGGCTTAACAGTGCATACTCCGTCCGAACTGGCCTACAGCTGCGCAAGCAGCATGAGGGACTCAGCCTTGGCACAGCCACGCTCCAGCCCCAACCCATACACCACCGCACCACCGCTTTAACGCGAAGACTTCGAGATGTTTCCGCATCCAAGCTGTCGGCTGGCAGCTTGGCACAAGATGCCAGCTACACTACAGGAACGTAAGAGCTGGACTGCGATGCATTCAATTGCAATATGCTGACAGCAGTTCAGACTCTCTTCGTGATTGTGAGGTCATGTGAGCATGCCATTCCCCAAGAGCAACCGCTCGGATTAGATTTTGCCACTTCCATATCCTTTCACAGCTCGTCAGGACGGGCATGCTTGCTGTGTACATGTGACCTGCTCCAGAGTCCACCGCCAGGGCGCAATACCTCACCATCGTGCCAATCCCGTGGCCTCCGGCAGGAAGACCGGAGCAGGCCGGCAAAGCCAGTGTCCGGACGACGTGAGTGTTTATGCAAGTTTGTATTGAGCACCGACACGTGCCCACAGGCAATCCGAAATGCCCGTACCTGTGACTTGCACATCCGTTCTAGCAGTTGCCGCAGCGTGTATGGGCAGCCCCCCAGTGCGTGATGCAGTGCATCAAAAAGAGGCCCCCTGAGTCATGTAGCCGCGAGGAGATCTCGTGAGGATGCGCATGTGCAGGCTTTTGGCGTACATGTGCTCGAGCCCCTGGAACTGCTGACATCGAGACATGGTCTGCCTTGATCGACTCCAAGACTTTCAAATCTTTCAAGAGGCTCGAGGGAAGTCCACACAGGACCAACATGATCGCTCGCAGCCTGCGGTGACTGTGGTCCACCGGTCCACCGGCACTTCATTGCGATGAACTTTAGGACGCCACTCAATGAGTGGAATTGCGCAAGCGAATCCTGCCATCCGGGATTTAAACATGTTCCAATGACACTCAAGACCCCCAGCTTGCAAGGCCACACCCCTTTGCTAGGATTCCTAGTACTATTTAATATGATTCCTGTTAAACGTAACAGGATTCAAAGAATTTCGCTTAGAACCCTATTAAAATTTCTCAGGAAACACATCAAGTAGCAATAGCAATCCTAGCAAATAAACGCCTCAACCTTAACCCACCCCATGAGGGTGGTAGGAGGGGGGGGGGCCTTCAAAAATGGAGGGGGGGAGGGGTTGTCTGTGAAGACATTAGAGAGCAAGCCATGTGCAATGGTGTGTGTGGCTCGCCATTTTGTTGTGTGCAGCGAGCTGGTACTGTCTACATAGTTGATGGGAATGTCGATGGCTCCAAAGTCCTGAAGCTTATAGCATGCACAGCTGTTCCCACAGCAATGCCAAGCCTGAGGATGACTTCATGGTATTCCCCCCCTCCGTAACAATTTTGGAGAGATAACTGAAGCAACGACGGCTTCCGGATTGCAATGTAAAACTGCAAAGCCCGAGGAAGTATCGTATTTGCACCAGGCCTTGCCATGCGTGCAGCTTCAGCAAGGGGATTGATACGATGCATCCCCAAAGGGTGGGGAGTTCATCTGAACATTGGGTGGGACAAAGGAAGCCTGGCTCAAGCCAGAAGCTTATGGAATAGCACATGGATATGTATCTAATGGTTGCATGGCCCCACCACTAACCTACCACAATGCAGGTCATTAGAGAGCAAGCCATGTGCAATGGTGTGTGTGGCTCGCCATTTTGTTGTGTGCAGCGAGCTGGTACTGTCTACATAGTTGATGGGAATGTCGATGGCTCCAAAGTCCTGAAGCTTATAGCATGCACAGCTGTTCCCACAGCAATGCCAAGCCTGAGGATGACTTCATGGTATTCCCCCCCATTGATCAAAACACTACCATCGATCTGCGCACAACATGTTGGAAACTGGTGAGCAATGACTTGAAACGGGCTTGGGATCTTACGAAAGTGAGCAATTTATCGTAAGGCACTGCAAAGTGAGCCACGGCTTTTGCCAGCTTGAGGAATGGTGCCTATCACGCGCGCTTGACCAACAGGATGTCAAAGGAAGCTGACGTCATGACCAGAACTCGTTCCACTCTGCCATAGAAAGCTGCAAGTGATTCTTCGGCCATGAAAGTGGGAATCTCAACTGGCAGAGCTGAATACCTGCCTTTGCTGCTTCGGGACAAGAAACACCTTCACGGGAACCTCCATCTGCAATGTTGGATTTACTCGGCACATGCTCCCACCAGGCTCGAACACCTTGTCGCATAAGGCGCAAAACTGTGGCGTGGACGATGCTGCCTAAATCCAGTGACCTGGAGGTCCCCAAGACGTAACTGCAGAGGACTGCCATATTGTCAATGAAAACAGTGAGCAAGCAATGCTGCAAGAGTTCGCGCTCAAAGTAAAGGGCGAGCATCGGTGCAAGGGCCTCAGCCTGCGCGATAAGAGTTTCTGATGACTGGAACTGCTCGAGCACATAAAGTGGGATATCAATGACGGCGCCCCTGCGAAGGTGCTCCTTCAGACATGCTACGATGAAACAAACGCGTGCTGCTGGTCGTCCTTGAAGGTCGAGTTTGAAAGATGCGTCTGTAAACAAAGCAACCTTTCTGTAAGCACCAGGCATCAGGGGAATTTCTCTGTACGGACAAGAATGCAGCAACTCCAGAAACAAACACAATTCCAAGCGCAAGCCATGACCTAACGCAGTGTCATCCGAAGTCGTTCGTTCGTCCAGGTAAGGCACTGGCACCCTACCTGATCGTCCCTGGTACGTCTCTGCAAGATGGAGCAACTTGCCACGGAGAGACGATGCAACGGATCTGTGTAAGCGGTTGTCATGAAAAATCTGCAAGATCATGTTCTTAATTTGTTCTTCGCGGCCAGGCTTAGGCAAATGTCGAATGCGTTCATGAGACCCCAGTTCGGTGTAGAGCTCGCGCGCGCCCAGGAAGATGGCGTCTGCTGTCGGCATCTGGTCTTTGGCAGGGTCACGTTTGTAGCCAAGCCAGCTGAGCAATTCCAAGAAAGATCGAGTTGCAGAGCCACCGCTGCACGCCACATCAATGACCTTGAAATCATCAAAGAAAGCAAACACCGGTATGGCCAGCCATCTTCGTGCCAGAGCAACGACGAATGTTGGGATTCTATTGAAACCAAGAACCGCCGCCCCGAGCCCGAACGCCAGCCCATCACATTCTGCAAAGACCCACTGCTGTCGTTCCGGGTGGAAAATGGCTACGATGGAGTATCGCAAATGCTGGGGATTGACAGGTACTTGCCTGTATGCTTTCTCAAGATCATGAGTGCTGACTCGCACCTCCCAACCGCCGTCGAGAGCCGCCCCATGCAAATTGCGAAGTCGGCGGACGGCTGCGAAGGAAGCTGAGGAGGAGGTTGTGTGAATGCGTTCCCAAGCTTGAAGAGTGCTGTTGGTGTCAGACTCTTTAGCGTTATCAATGAGTCTCCATTTGGAGTGAGCTTGTTGCCACACAGCAAATCGCGGCATGGGGCGCCACCTGCCTTTACCATGTCGGGCATCCATCTCTGCAGCAGTCCAGTAGCCTCTCAAGGTCCCTGACTTGCGTTCCACCTCAGACTTCTCCCAGACAACACGAACTTGCTCTGGAGGGGGCGGCCTGCGAGACACAAGCTTCTGCACGTAGTCATCATGACCGTTTTCAAAATCTTGCAAGGGCACGGTAGGCTCGACAGAGGCCGCGCGGTAGATGTTTGAGCGGGGAAGCTCCCCCACAATGAGCGCGCCTTTCTGGGCTAGCTCCAGCAAAAAGATGTCGGGCCAGCAAATCGAGTACCTTGAGAGCTCCAAACGGTCCAAATGAACATGCTCTGAGACCTTGCGGGAGGTGCTGGATCGAGCACAATTAAGGGAGTCGGCCATGCCTTCGGCAGATTCGCATATTGATCGAAGGCGAGAGAACTGCGCCCGCCTCCATGCCCGAGCTTTCTTGCCAAGCGCCAAGCACTTTCGCAGCGCAAAGTCAAGATCATCCGGCACTGGGGGCTCCAGACTGAGCGGCGACTCAACAACCTCTCCACACTGGAAATGCGACACCGGGTCCAAACCTAATGGCAACAGGGATGAATGCCCAGCAGCACTTGTTTGGGACCGATGTTGCACAAGCAACGCTACAGAAGCCGAGCTGCTGGAGTTTTGCTCGATTGGCCCAGGTCCCATCGGCTCATCTGTTGGCATACCTCGGTCGCAAAGGTCTTGAATATATGGGCACTGTCGGCGCAGCTCCTTATAGGTGTCCGCATATTCAGTGAGGGCTCGGAAATTGTGGTCCAACTCACCTGTATCAGCTTCATGAGGAGAGCACGGCTGAGAGGAAACCACGCCCACCGCCCGAAGGAGAGCTTCCGCCAGCTGCAAAGGGAGAACGTCTTGCAAGAGCTGAGCGCGCCGTTGCGCAAGAAGGTGTAGCGGTTCATCCTCGAGCGTCCGCAGAAGAGGAGCCGTGTAATGGTCAGGAAAACCGACGATGCGCTCCATTTCCAGGGGTACCAAACAGCGGTGTGCTCCGGACGCACTGCAGCAAGACTGAGATGGGTATTCACATAACAGAGCGAGACAGCGTGCCTCCACAGTTGTTCGCCACCCCGGTAGTAGAATGCTCGGCAAATCCGGCGGTAGCACACGTGACAAAGGCAGGAGATCGCAAGTCGGGGAATGACACCACCACTGGAGGCCTGCGAGCCGGCCCACGCAACAGGCATCCTCGGGAAACCGGACAACATCTGCCTGAAAAAGGGCCCTGCACGCCTGCGCGCTTGCAATGTTCTCTGCGCAGGACGGGACCAATGCAAAGAGTCGCCCTTGGAGGACCTCTTTGAGCCAGCCAAAAACACGAAGGAACACGCGCAAATTGCGTTCGTCTTGGCATGGGTCTGCACCTGTCGGCAGCACACTGCAAGCAAACAAGAAGGAAGCTCCAACATGACGACTGGCAACGGCACGCAGTGAGTCAAGACAGAGCAATGCACTCGATCCCATGTGCTCCACGCAACCATGTTGTATTTGCAAGACGTCATAGGCATGCTGAGGCAGGTCCAGCACATAAGCTGCACAGACACTGCAACCCATCTCGTGGACAGTCGCGAGGAACGGGGCCAGACCTCCACATATTTCCAGGACAACGACGCCAACATCGTCAGGATCATCACATTGCGCACGCCTTCCCTAGCGCACGGCAGGCATTCCGTGTTTGCTTGGGTCATGGGATTGCCTGGTGTGATCCTTCTTCTCGCAAACTTTGCCGGAAAGTAGGACGATGTCGCAACAATGAACCTCACCCCTGGGGCACTTTTGTTCACAGCCTCTGCGATCATTATTGCGCTTGCAGATTTTAAAGCCACCAGCAGTTGAGTTGGCTGTTTGCCACTTGGATCGCGAAGGCGTAGGATCGCTCGCCGCCGCATCTGCGTTTGAGGAAGTCTTTGCTGGAGCTGCGTGCCTGGCAGAGCGCTGTAGAACATGGTCATGGTCCTTCCAAATGGAACTGTGCTCCCTGATGACATAGTCCAACGCATGACCCCAAGGTTTCTGCGAACCTCCTCGAGCGCATTCAATGGCCTTGGCTCTGAAGTCTTCCTCCACGGCCTGAATGTACTCAAGGACGGACTCGGCCGTATACTGGCTACACAACCTCCAAGCGCGTTGCCCCAGCTGAAACGCATATTGGGACAGCAATGGCCACGAAGCGTACTTGACGGCGCCACCATCATAAGGCACATCGAAACAGCCGGCGACCGCCCATGTGAACACCAGGACGTCCAACAACATGAGATAGCCATGAATTCCCTGGGCCGGCGAAGGCTCCATATCCTCATTGCCGGAGCTGGAGACGAGGGAAACGCCATCTGCGAGCTTTTGCTTCTTGACTGGCGGGGCCTTTTGGGCAGTAGCGAGGGAACGTACCCGCAGGACAGGAAACATGCTGGGCTGACGGGCTTCGAACTCACGCCGAAACCGCCCAAACATGGAATCGCTACCAATCCTGCGAGAGTCAATCTCACCCCACTTGTGGTAAGCTGTGAAGATGGAGACGTAGGACTTCTGCACATCAGGGTCCAAGGGTTCATCCAAATCCTCGGGCGCCAAACCCTGCGACTGACGGGCAATCTGACGAGTGACCAAAGCATCAGCTTCGCGCCATGCCTGCTTGAGCAGGGCCAGTTGGCTTTGGTTGTCCTTGTGGCTGGGAATTTTGGCCAAGATCTTGGGCTCGATGTCGGATCTGGAGTCAACCCAATTCGCAAAGGCGCGAATCGAAAGACAACCCACATCTGCCCGACCCAGGTAATCAACAATTGCCTGGTCAACCTTCCGCTGAAGCAAGAAGGCCTGAAGCTCGGCGTTCACCGGCATGGGACCGATTTGCGAGTCAGTCCGAGACAACCACACAACGTGCTATACTGGGGACACCTGAGCCAAACAAAAAGTATTGGGCATTTTGGAAGGTGCACTACTTACAGCTGCATCACATTGACAGTCAGCATACTTACAACTGCATCGCATTGACGGCAACTCTGCTCGGGCGCCAAGGATATCTGGCGCGTCCGCAATGTGTGACTGCTATATAAGCGCCGCGTCGTAGTGACGAACAGCTTTACAGAAAAGAGCCGAGCCGCTTCGGAATGAAGAACGGCCTCATGCCTACAGGCCTAGTGAGCAATGGGCAGATCTCGAAACGAGCAGGCCCAGCGCACACACAGCGAGCTTATTAGATTGCAACCTATGAGGGCAGGTTAGGGTCAAAGGGGGGGAGGCAAGGTTTACGACAACACGGCTTGCATGACAGGTCGGACACTCGGACTCGCTGCAGCGCAATGCGGATCAGCGAGACAGCGAGAAGTGTCTTATGTTGCATTACGCAGATCTACAGGCTTGCAGACCTCACGTGTGGAGCTTGCTGAAGCCCAGCCAGCGTTCTTGAGAAGACTCGGGCAGCTTCCTGAAACACGTGGGGGACCATTCGCGCCCAGTTGCCAACGCTTTCTCCAAGCCAGCGCCCTCCTCTGGGCGACGGAGCTTCTTGCCACATTGAGTGGTGCCAGGCGTAACTGCGGACTGCAAATGAAGTTTGGAGCGCTTGCTCGATGCTGGCAGCAACCAAGTTGGCTCATCCCGGTCGTCTTCTGCATCGCTTATGCTCGGCTCGGAAAGCAAGGGACTGCTGCTTCCTTCGGTCTGCTTGCCAGGGAGAGCCGCGGGCACGGCGCTTGAAACTTCAGCACGTCTAGGCCACAAAGGGATAAGGTCCTCCCATGATGGATCACGTGACTCCTTCTGACAGCACCAACGTGACCAAGCAAGCCGCGCAGCTCCGATCAACTCGGATTTCAGGCGCTGGGAAAGCGCCAGCTTGTTGTCGCTGTACCGGAGTGGCATGGCCAAGCGCCAGGACATCTCCTGCAGGGATGGGCGCTTACTATCCATCCATGCTCCAATTGCCAACATTTCTCGTGGCCGGAAACCTGCAATGTCTGCCAAGGTGGGTAGGACGCGCCTGCTCGCGTACGTTAAAGCAGACGGCTTGCCTCTATGAACGTAGGTAACTCCGAGTTGCTTGAACATGGCGGTGGACAACCGTGTGAACTTCCATCGCGGCATGGGACCCTCAGCCAGACCAGTGACACGTTCCAACGGGACGCGTTTTGGCCTAAAGTCTGGCAGCACAAAACCAACTCCTTTCAGGTCCTCAAAGGCTGTGCGCAAAAGCTTTGACCAGACTTTGAATAGGTCTATGCCTGTGATGCCAAACCGAGGCATTCTCCAGCGGAAGGGACGTTGGGCACCCCTCACTCGCGCTTTACCTTTGGCGCAGAGGAACTCCAGGCCGTCGGCGTAGCACTCAATGAGACGGGATTGCTGCAAGTGCTTGAAGCGAACGCACCCGACTAGCAGGAATATCCAGCATGCTGAAAGAAGTTTGAAAGGGTCCCCTGCATTAGCACTACCAAGGACCTGCTCCAGGAGCACCCAAAGCGCGACAGACATCGGCGAAGCTGGAATTTCTTCATGTTCCGGCGCATCGACTCCGTAGCTTGCAACTTCCTCTGAAGCAGTGTGGAAAGGTGCCCCCACATGGCGCTGCAGCCATTTCAGGGCAGCGAAAGCGCCACGAGCGGCAGTAGGCCCCTTTGCCCGAAGAGAGCGAAGCCAAAGTCCGACTTCTAGGGCACTGGGCATCCAGGGAGAGACACCATTCTGCTCACACCATGCGGCCCAGCGCGAAGCAGTGTTGACAGCACGGGACAGTGTAGACGTCGGACATGCCAACCACGATTCAATCTTACTTTGGCCGAATGCTTCTTGCAAAGGACCTGACAAGGTGCAGTATTGATTCCATAACGACCCAGCGTCATTAATCTGTAGAAACAATAACCACAGCTGATCGGCGCGTGGTTGGGCATATTTGCTTGCATCAGAAGGGGCCGTGATGGGCTCTGCGACAAAGCGTCTGCGGCGAAATTTTTGTCTGGGCAAGACACTCAATGTCTTTCCAAACTGACCAATTTGGGATGATGGCACTGACACGCGCTGATCCTGTCTGCACAATGGCTCACTGTAGCAGCGAGCAGTCTGTTCTGCTGCATCATCCGCCCAATGGTTTGCCAGCTCCCACAAGCTCACAAGTTGGCTGATAGTTGAAAGGTTTGCATTCCCCAAAACTTGTCGAGACGCTGACAGCACCTCTTCCTCCGAGTCATATCTGTTTGCGAACTCAATTGGAGTACGAATCGTCAAAGAAATGAAGAAATGACTCACGTCAGCCACATTAGAACAGTGGGCAAGCAGGGCATCCATTGATTTTATCAGCACGGCACGCCCCTACAAAGGAAGCCTGGCTCAAGCCAGAAGCTTATGGAATAGCACATGGATATGTATCTAATGGTTGCATGGCCCCACCACTAACCTACCACAATGCAGGTCAGGAAACAAGCAAGGCGCACTACGAGGGGGTGATGAGAGAGACAGAGAGGGGAGAGAGAGAGAGAGAGTGCTCCGTTCAGGGGCTCTGCTATTATGCAAGAACACACATGTCTCGCATCAATCGTGCCTCGCATTTGGACGGGTTTTGCTCGAAGGGATTGATGGACAAAGAACTCCAGCAACCCGCAGCAGCTGCCTTTGTTCATTCGCCATGCTGCCAGATCTGCCAGATACACACAAAAAAAAGTGAATGCAGCTGACGTGTAGATCCCACGGAAGCTGGGTTCTGGGCTCAGGGGCACGGGAGAGAGCAAGGGAAGGGCGCTCGGGCAACGGCTTTGGCTTGGGGCCAGCAGACCGCTCAGACCGCTCGCCATTTTCACCAGTCTTGAAGTGATTGCAGTCGGCGGATTCAGAGGGAAACCTGGCGATCTCTGGCACCATAGAAAAGCCCGTCACCGCCTCGCTTATCACAAATTCTGTCGTGCTGCGGGCCGGCTTGATCTCACTTGTTGGTGTGTAGGTGCTCGTGCTTCCTTCGCTCTGGGCCTGACTGGTTGCTTTTGTGCGCTCGTATGTTGGCAGGTTCAGCTTCCGGCTGAGCACGGAATATCTTGCCCCACCCACAGCCAGCCAAAGGGCTCGTTGAGCAAGAGCATCATCTTTCAACAGGTGCTGCGAGGCTAAGAAAGCCTCCTCTGCTGCTTGGGCCGCCTTGGGCGAGGCATTGGCACATGCGCTTATGAACGCGCGCTCGCAGAACAAATCTCGTGGGCGCGACTGCGCTGCCGCGTCAAGAATCTCAGACAGCTGGCGATAGTCGCCATGACGTGCCAACACCTTCGAAAACGCACGATAGCTGGCCAGTGTAGGCCGCAAGTTCGCAGCCTTTAGTCTCGACCAGGCCTCCTGAGCCATGTCCTTGTCAATCGCGATTGCTGACGCATTGATCAATAAGTTATGACTTATGGCATCGGGCATCACAAACCCGGCAAACTCTGTTTCCAACCTTTGAAGCCAAGCCTTGATCCGGTAGGGATCAGCTGTTTGATGGCTGGCCCAGGCCTGTAGCAAACTATTGAAACCAACCACCTCCACCTCTGCACCACGGGCAACCAACCGTGAAAACCAACGCTCGGCTGACAAAGGTTGCCGAGCTCTTTCACATGCTGTCATCATTGCATTGATTGTCCAGGAGTTCGGGGATATGCCTACTTGCCTCATCTCATCCACTGTCCTTTCCGCCTCCTTGAGATCCCCAGCCATGGCACACGTCCGGATCAGTGTGCTGTAAGTCACAACAGTCTTTGGGATGCCAGTGAGTTCCATCTGCTGTAGGATTTTACGGTTCTGCTCTACATCGCCCACCTGGGCGCACGCCGACAGCATTGAAGAAAAAATGCGGACATCTGGCCCTTCACCAGCACGGCTCGCGCGTTCCACCCACAGGCGAGCACGTGCGAAATCTGGCACACGTGCGGCAGCTTTGATAAGTGACCCGAAGCTCCTCAGGTCTGGCATTTGCTTTGATTTCACCATGTTCTGAAACTGAGTCTCCGCCTTTGCTGAATTTCGATCCGCCGCATAGATGTTCATGAATGTGTTGAAAAGAACTAAGTTAGGCTCCACGCTCCAGTTGATCATCTTGGTCCATATGCGCTCTGCTGGTTGAATTTTATGTCGCTTCTCACAGTGTCGTAAGATCGTGCCAAAGGTCACCTGGTTCGGCTCACAGCCAGCACGGCTCATGCTGTCCAGCCATTCCTCAGCTCGTGGTCAGATGAAATCTAAGGCCACGCATGTACTGCAAGTGCTTCTTTCAGAATGACGAAAACTTCAGCATGACGTGGATCCTCTGCCAGTGCAGTTCGACCAATGCCTGCAAGCCCAGCGATGACAGAAGTGTACCTGGAGTCTCACGTATCATGCCAGTCACCTGGTATAGCTCGTTCAGACACCTACAACATCTCGGGTGTTCCAGGTTATTGCAAGCAACCGGCAACGCCATGCAAGGCCAGTGTCTGAAGCTGATGGGGTTGGGGGGGTGGGGGGGGGGCACGTGATAGTGTCAGGTCGAAGTTCTCGCCCTCGGCACGCGCGCCCGTCGCTGGCATAAAAGGTTTGTGGTCCGCTCGCACTGGGACGCTGACGGCGCATCTCTGACATCGTAGCTATGGCCGAGCGCATTTGCCCTGCCTCGCAATTGAATCTGAAGGACAGGTAATATAAACATCATGACATCACTTCCCAGAGGTTCTTGCCTGCGCATACGCATTGATGAGTGTGTTGTAGCTGGTCGTGTTGGGGAGGACAGCCGAGGACCTCTGCCGTCAAAACACACACTCCGACGCCATGTTGACCCCACACATCTCACTACATTTCATGAAATGCCACTCTACAGCTCCGGCGAATCAAAAGCCGGCTTCAACCGTTCAAAGCACAGAGTCACAAAATGCCACATGGCCACCTCATAGTGTCGAAGATCACAGCTGCGGCTTTGACATCGCCAGCCTCAGAAAGAAATTCTGACACCCGCACAAACAAGATGTCACCTTTTAAGAGCTTGGTGCGGAACTTTCCCATAACCATCGATCATGCTGTTGAAGAGTGCAGTCGTCTGCATGCCCTCCTGCAAACTCAGAACGTTCTCAGCACGAGTCGGTTCGCGCGCACAGCATGGTGAGCACTGGAAGACATGTTCCACAAGAAATGGCAGCCATGACCAACATGGCGTGATGCTCGTATCTGGAGGGATTCACACGGGGTCAGGGTACGAGCGCCCCGAATCGGCAACGTGGCAACTGAACGCTGCCGTCGGACGTGGTGATGAAACGTGGGAGGGTTGAAAATGGACCGCAGCATCTCTCAAGAAAGAGTTTAGATCTTTGGAGAAGCGGTTGAGTCCCTAGCTTGTGGCCACGCAACGTCTTTCCCGCCATGAGATCGAAGCAGGTGCAAGCTCTACACTGCCTAGGTACGAATCAAGCTGTGAACATTCGGGGACGATGGCACGAGGGGAAACTCGAGCAGGGACTCGCCACTTCTCGTTGGGTGTCGGGGGGGACTGCCACTTTGGCAGCCATCGAGGCCTTCTAGCCAAAGGATGGCACGCAAGGTGCCGACAGAGCAGAGGGCGACTGTTGACCCAAGTTCTTCCCGAACTGCTGTCACCATGACCGTAAGCTCCGGTGTTGGGACATGATGCAGTGGGGCATTTGTAGAATCACAACTCTTAGCCGAAATTCCGTGTCACAAATGGTGATGCGCAAGGTCATTGAGCTTCGCTTTGTCGCATTTTCACACGCAAACTGATTGGATAAAGTCCTGGCAAAGCGTATGTGCGCTGTACACTACTGCGGTGCCACACACACACACACATTTTTCGACAGACTTCCACGATGGCCAACAACCTTCCTCAATTCATGATTAAATCCTTGAAGCCCCAAGCCTCCCAGCCCTCGAGCCCTGAATAGAAGGCCTCCAACACCGAGGACTAAACCATCCATGATGACACATGCTGTCACGATACGAAAGCAACTTTGTTCGCGGAGTTCCCAACGCGCACGGGCCTTCAGCCACTCTGCTCAGCTACTTTGTCTGAGTCTGCGGGTCATGCGCAGGTTCAGCTATCTCAGCTGGGGTCAGCTTCTTCGGGCCCCCCGCGCTACCACAAACTTTCCCCGCTTGCTGCATGTGCGGGGCTTCTTTCCTCTGTTTGTTCACAGAAGACATATGCAGAGAGAAGACGGCGCCTAAAAGACGGGGCATGCCTCAGAACTTGTGCCACGGCTGGATTTCATCATCCTCCTCCGCCTCGCCGCTCGGAGCTCCTGAGGCAACAACATCCCGAAAGCCGTGAGAAGCTGTGAAAAGATTGTGAAAAGCAAGAGTGCAGCAACCGAAAAGAGAAGACTCGGAGATGACGAGAAGCCTCCCGGATAGAACTCCCGAAGTGGCCCCAGGTGTTCGCGACCTGGGCGGTGCACGGCGCGACGCTCGGCCGTTCCGAGCGCACACCGATACTAAGAGTTTGCCTTGGAACTGGCACTGTTAACGTCCGGAAGCTTGTCATATCTTGCCATCTGCAGCTCTCAGGAGGGTGCAGACCTTCAAATGGTCCATCTGCAGGATAACAGCTGCAGACTCTGCAACAGCAATGTCCGCGTAACATTGTTTGCCTGCCTGCCCAGGTCAGTCCAGCACTTTCCCAAAACTCGCAAAAGAGTGAACATGGCAACATAGGCGTGTGTTGTATGTTGGGCCCTGCAGATTGAACTGTTGCGTCTTGTTGAAGCGTGTGATATTCCGGCTCTCTGCTGCCATTTGATTCCTGACTTCTGCCGTCGTCATTTCGTATACTCGAAAGGTTCAAGATTCTCCCTACTCATGGTTTGCCCCAACTCACACTACATGGCGCGTGGGTGACTAGTGGGCTCACAGAAGTGTCCACTGGCCTGGGGGAGGGTGGGCCATGTTCGCCAAGGCCTGTCTGCATCTGGTATCTAAAGGGCTTTCCTCCTCTCCACCCATGCTGTCCGGCGCCCTTAAAGCCAGCATGTCGGATTTTGCTTCTTGTTGCCGGGCGATGCTGGTGCGCACTTCTTGCACTAGATGTGCCTGATGGACATGGAGTTACACCCGTGAGGTAAAGCGAGTTGGCTTGCGTGTTGGCTTGCGTCGTTGGGATCAACCCTCAACTCACGCACCATCACGCACCAGGGGATGCTGTCGGAGACTGCCTGCTTGACGCTGTGCTGCAGCAAGCCGGTGCTGGCGGAAAGCATGTCTCGAATTGCCAGCAGCGCCACGATCCTGATCATGAGAACCCCAGCACAGCCTCGTGTAAGGCGAGACGACGTCCCGAGGAGGTGCTAAGAAGGCTTGGAAGCCATGCTGACATTAGACACACGGATGAGAACAGCGAACAAAGGCAAGTTTGAGGTCGAGCGACAGGTGTGCGGTGTGTCATTTCGACATCCTGAGCGGCTAAGCACGTGCATTGGCCTCATTTGAGGAAGCGTCTTGGTGTAGACAGATGGCTTGTCCTGGGGATCCGAACCAAAAACTCATCAGGCAAGAAACAATAGATTCAATAGAAGACTTTTGGTGCCAAGAGGCTGTCAAGCCACGGGCGTAGGAATCGTACAGCCTCGGTGATCAGTTGTGCAAGCGCCACGGAAACACCGACCAGAACGTTGCTCACATGGGCGCACATCCAGGCAGACAGCACCGGATCGGCGCCACTTTGTCCTGCCAGTCTGAACCAAGGTTCAAGTCATGGGGCTCATCAATCGCATGTTGTTCAATGCTCCTCGTGCTCCCATGCCCTGCGCCACAGCCTTCGCAGACGAGTGGTTCGAGCATTGGCCACAGAGCCACAGAGACGCCAATATTCGCCAGCATCTGCCAGCCCGCACCTGCGCCTGCGTCCAAAGAGCGGGAGGACAGCGCTCCTTCGCAATTGTTCCCCACTCTCGGTGCAGGGTTGTAGATTTCAAACTAAACTAAACTCTTCTCCGCGCCCGGTCTGCGCCTCGCCCATCACCCGTATCCCACCCCAGAGTGTTTTCAGAGAGTCCCTGCACTGCCCAACCCAGAGTATCCCCAAGAAGGCCTGGAGTGGCCAAGCCCCAATATTCTCAGAAAGTGCCCAAAGTAGTAGTACCAGAGAGTGCCTGGAGTGCCCAACCCCAGACTAGCCCCAGAGGATCCCCAGAGTGTCCCTAGATTAAGCTGGCAAATTGCTTGCCGACAGGGTGGGGATGTTCGAAGTAACTTGCTCTAGATCGCGGCCTTATGTGGCCTTGCTTCATTGCCTCATCCTTGATTAGTCCTCCTTGAGAGCAGCCGCAAGGTCCAACATGGTTGCCACCTCGAGACCGAAAACAATGCAGGGCCAACTCTACGCTTGATCAGTTCTGAGGTCATGCACCGAAGCGAAGCATGCGCGACAAAACCTAAATCTCACATTCGGACGACTCATTGCACTCCAGTACTCGGATGTTCTCCAAGCTGGCGGATCATGCGGTACACTGAGCATCTGGCTTGTGGCTTTCAAGGTCCTGGCAAAGATATCGCAAATTTGACTCAATTGACCTCACAAAGCCAAGCCGACCCTGGCCTTGTCGGCCGCCAGGGCTTCGGCTATCAACACCTGCACAGACCGCGATTGCTTTTTTGCCTCTCAGTTGACAATAGTTGATATCTCGCGACCACACAACAAAGCACCTGAGCTGTTGCCAAACCCTGCGACAGGGCCACGACCTCAAGCACTTGCCACGATTTGCCACATTCAGCACTCCGGCGAAAGCCTAAAGATGAAGGTTCTAGCAGTTTTGCATGTCTACCCAATCTGTGAATTGTTGGCTCTATTTTTGCTGTTACTCATTTGCATTAGCGATGCATGTTGAGCTATTCAATGCTTCTCCAACCTGCTCATGCAACAAAGACGTTGTGTGCTTGCAAGTCTTCGATTGCACTTGAGAGCATGCGCCATGAAGCCTAGATTCCACTTGTGTCGCCCAATGCCCTCTTCTTTCCAGTAGCAAGCAGATCTACCAAATCTAAGCAATGTACCCCTGTGACTGAGCCTGCAGCAACTTCACCATCAAAAGCGTACTCCTTCAGCAATCTTAGACCTGGCCTGTATCATTCCTCCAGACATACGTGTCACTGCTTTCTCCTTCTCGGCTTCCGTCTTGATGGCATTGGAGTGAGCCTCTTACGATGAAGGCAGTGAAGCTTTAAGAATCAAACCAGATCCAAAGTTTCCAAAGCACACAGCAAAGCAACTGGCCTTCATTGCTTCTTCTGCCGTTGTCAATGACAGAGCCTGACAGATCCTACACTCGGACAGGCTCGCACGCGTTCCTCCTTAATTCTCCTCCTGCGATTCTCGCTTGCCGAGGCAGCTGCAGTCTCCCCTCTCTTGAGCTGACCTGGACCAGGTAATCATCAACGTCAATGGAAGGCTTTCGAACTCCTGAGGCTAGTGCTCCTCGCTGCAAGGAGAGTACCTGGCGCTCGACACCATGCATCCACACAAGTAGCATCGGACCTGGAAGCCTAAAGGACCTGCACTGGCATGCAGTAGCCGCAGCCAGCATTGTTAAGAAATCAGGGGCTCAAGAACTCAATGGACTCGGGGTGGAAAGAATACACCTAAATGACGGCTTCGGGCTCCAGAACCAAGCTTGAGCGAGGCTTTGAGCTTGAGAACGGTTGTGGAGCTGGGGAGTGTGATTCTGCAATTGTGCTATGTACATGTTCTGCATGGTCCTGCCTGCGAATCGGCATCTGTGTCTGTGACCATACACCTTACTTGCATCTCCAAGCAACAGTCAACGACTCAACGACTGATGCTCCTCTCGCCGCAGAACTTGTCTATTTTGCATTGAAGTCTGTCGCATGTCTCAGACCCAGGCCCAGTGGCTCTTCTGACAGCTCTGCGCGCAGTAGCCGGCAGCTCGACACTTGGAGCAGAGCAGTGACGTCCTGGCGACGCTTTAGCATTGCACAGAACCCAATCAATCGCAGACCATTGAAGGCACTGTCGGTCTCATGGCGGGGTTTAGGCCGTTCAAAGCTTTCCGGTCACTTACCTAGCGGGTTCCAGTCACGCCCTGCGGGTCGTGCGTTTTCGTGCGCTTTCGTGCGCTTTTGTGCCTTCGTGCGCTTTCCATCGACTTACACCCAATATTCTACAGTTTCTTGACACCCCCACTCGAACACTCAACGATTAAACTCTGCCAACTACAGGCAGCAAACGGCAACGATATGCAAGGCAAGTCTCTGTCCTGCGGCCACAGAACTCACACGAAGCGCGGGGCCTTAAGTATGCACTTTGCTGCTTTGAAGCGAGGCATGTTCCCATACATTCAAGGCACTGATGCGTTTCGCCGTCCTTCCGCTCATGTAGCAGTTGCAGGCTGCAACTACGTGCAACTCTTCCAACGATCGTAATCCAGTGTTCCGAAGTGTTCCGAAGTGTTCCGAAGTGTTCCGAAGTGTTCCGAAGTGTTCCGAAGTGTTCCGAAGTGTTCCGAAGTGTTCCGAAGTGTTCCGAAGTGTTCCGATGTGTTCCGGATCCTCAGCTTGCATTTCCTTCCCGCAGGCCGTGCTTGCAGTAGTCGGAGTCGGCGTAGTCCCTGCGTGCTGTGTCAACCGACATCAGGCGCCAGGAAGCAAACCTCCAAACAGGCCAGCAGGGCGTGACCACTCCACGACTAGCTCGCCACGCCGTCGCGAGAATCGGCACTGGCAAGCTCAACTCGCACTACTTGTATGCATAGTTGCACATGATTCCACATGATGCGACCTCGACAACTAAACAGCATCAGCCTGGGGGTCAATGAAGAACAACCCACACTAGGATGCTACGTTTCCGAGAATTCCAGGGAAAACTACTCAGAGCTGAAACCCGATGGGCCCTAATGATTCCGGAAGGAGTTTTGGTTGACATGACAGATGCGTTGAAGCATTGAGTGCAACCCAGCCTTGGCATCAGCTACTTGAAGTGGCTGCGCTTCTTGCGGAACACAAATGTGGCACCATCTTGACCGCCAGCGCAAACGAACGGCATCTTCAGCCAAGTCAATGGTTCCAGCGTTCTTTGAAACCTGGATGACCAGCTTCCAGTTCACGTGTTGCGCGCATCGCTGCGACGTGAGTTGCCAGACTGGTATCTCCGATTCGACTGCCTCGTCCGCACTCACATGTTCGCACATCCTGCATAGCAGCAAACCTGCAAACTGCAAGCCTCACTATCAGCAGATGAACCTTGGTTACCATCCATCGTCCGCTTAAGCAAAAACAGGCGCATACTTACAGGCTGGGCATTAAGTCAACTTAAATTAAGGGCTTGTCGGATGACCCAAGATATGCTCACGGGCCAATATGCTGCAGGCAGGGCATTCAAAGCCGCGATGAAGACAAGAATGTGAAAGGTGCAAAAACACAGAAACAACAGTGTCCTGCATCGCTGATTGCAGCCAGCTTTCCGCCTGGGCTCCGTTCACCAGTGCACATCCTGAACAACGAACCACGCAGGCTGACAGAGGGCCTCCGTCGGGGCATTGCTGGCAATGTAAGCACTGATCACCTCGACGATGCAATGCAGGTGGGTGAACCGTTAAAAAACATGTCTGCATGCAAAGTTCCCCACGCCAGCGTAGCTGAATGTGTCGGGAGTCAATCCTGTTTGTGCACCGGCTCTCCGTACCATTGCAAGAATCCAAGCACTACCTGCCTGCAGACTTCAGCTTTTGGAACCACATTGTTGCGCTCTTTGGGTCACTGGCCTGACAACATCATGGCAACTCAGCAGCGTTCGAGGGCCGGAGAGGTGGTAAAAGCGTGCCGACAGAATGTCGCAAACGCGAGGGCACTAGGGCACCTTGCTGCGAGCAAAGCTCGGTCAGAATCAAGCTGCATTCACACAGGCCGCGAATCAGACTGAATTCTTCTCTCCAGTGCAATGCTGACGCTTGGTCAGACAGCAATTGGACTATGAGATTCATCATGGCTTCGCGTACCGGGTCTGCCGGAGTGGACAGGCAAACTTCAACAAGAGCAGCAGCAGCAGCAGCAGCAGCAGCAGCAACAGCAGCAGCAACAGCAGCAGCAGCGGATCGCCGGGCAAGAGCGGCATGTCAAGAAAGCGACAGGCGACTTTTCCATGACAGCACCTTCCTGCATAATGAGCGAGCCCCGCGATGTCACGCGAGTGTCCTTTCAAGTGAAAACCCGACCGGCAACGCCAACCTTCACGCATCTCGCACATCATTCACGAAGTTTCACGAACGTCGTCATGTGTTCGCTTAGGCCCTCCATGGCCCTCGGGCCGGCCAGTAAAGTCAAACCAAGCTCTGGCCCTCGACATAGTTCACAGTGGCCGTTAAAGGTTGCGCACTGTCCCACTGGAAGGCCTTTGCTGCTGCAGATATTGCCATGTTGTAGATCATGGTATCTGGCCGTGCCTGGGTGCCCACTTCACTGCAACATGACACAGGCTCAATTTCTTGTCTATGCGGTGGCTTGGCTCTAGGCTCCCTCGTCCTGCATGGCACTGAGCACTTCAGCTGGGCCTAGGAACAACATCGCATCATCTGGTGTCATTTTGTACCCTTCGGGCCTTGCACGTCTCCTGCAGCAGCACAAACCCCGATCATAGCACTGTACCTGCATGGCTACCAACATTCCAAGTGCAAGCGCTGGTATGTCCAAATCCTGCTTTGTTGCCGGTGTGAGGGCAGGCACACGGCGTGATTCGACAGCAGCCCATCCTCCCGCATCTGCTGAAGGTAGGCCTCGGCAGCATGACAAGTTTCATAGAAAAGCTTGCGAAAAGTTCTACACAGGCCGCAGGCCCCTTCAGCCCGTTCAGCCTCTACCAACTCCCTACAAATTGAGAGCTTTTTCACAGATGTTGCTCTACCAAAGGACCAAGGCCCAGGCCTTGGCCCGCTTTACGTTTGCGGTGGGCTCACATGCCCGAATGGCAGACGAGAACGTGTACGCGTCTGGCCTCACTTCTCACGACATCTGCGATCTGAGCGACATTGCTACAAGCAGGTTACAGCTGAGCCAGGCACTCGCAAGAGTTTGCACTCATGGTCTGCAGCACCTGTCAGGATTGAGCTGAGCTCCCACGCAGTTGCACGACTAATGAAACATGTGATCTTACAAGGCGTGCGTAATACAAGTAGCGTGTGCAGTCGTCTGCACTTGTCATTGTCGTGGCCAGAGAGATCCCTGCTCTCTGATGCGTTTTGCGTACGTGTTGGCGACTTCACTTTGCATCACGAACAGGATCTTTGAAAGCGTGACAAATAGAAGACTTCGCTGATGTTGGGATGCCGGAGCGCAAGTGCTCGCAAGGATCTTCATCCCTGTAAGGGAGTCATTGTGCAGTGCCACGAAAGCCAGGCCTCATCGACAGAATCCAGCGCACCACACAAAGCGTAGACGTTCAGTAGCGTGTTGTAGGCCTGGCATAAGACACCCTGACCTGCACAGCGGCAGCCCCTGTGATCTAAAGAACCTGAAAACTGATCGCATCCACTTTGGAAGACTGTCCGACATGACAAATCTTTACGGTGATGCGGGCTAGTTGCGACAGATTATTGATCACCCCCTCCCAGCCTGCAGGTCGTGCTTGAAACCAGCGGCTTCCATTTCCGCGAACCAGCGCTCCGCTGTTTCAACATCTCCAGCCTTCCCCCCCCCATGCTTCAACGTGCGAAGAAGGCAGCAGTCATGCTTCTTGTTGGCCTGAGCACATTGCTGGATTTTGTCAATATACCTGGGAAGAGCTTAAAGGTCGCCTGCAAGACAGAATGAACTGCAACAAATACCGGGGGCACTGTGGGACACTCGAAACGCGGTTGTCAAGCGCTGAGACATCACCTCACACAGTGTCATTTGTCAAGCATGCAAGGCATGCTGCACTTCAGACCGATAACATGATCCTTCCCAATGTGCCTCGCTGACGTGTTTGCAAAGCAACCTGCCAACGGCACATAAAGTCTCAGGGCCTTTGCCAGCAAACCCCATCGCAATACACAAAACCTGTACAAATTTGGGTAAACATATCCACACTCATGCCACTATGTTCAGGTGGCACCTGCATGGAAACCCAACACTCGGCATGCGCCACTGTCATCGACAAGAGCGTTAAGTCCGGAGCATACTTTCTTGCAGTATTGAGTGGAGACAAGTGACATATTACGCAGTGCATGTGACAATACACTACACAGTTCATCCAGCAACAAATATGCATGTTGCCACCTCTTTTTCTTTTGAATAGTGGCTATCCTTGCATTCGTAAGAGGCAACACCAGAAGACCCAACATGGTTTCAGTGATGAACGGACATGACATCGACTTCCTTTTGAACTCTGCCTCTCAAGAGGTGAACGGTACTGTTAGAGTTTTTTCTGGTGCCACGACGCGGGTGCAGGGGGGCGTTGGCAGTGTAGTTCCACTCAACAGTTTAACAAGCAGCAACCATTAGCATCGGTTCCCGATTTTTTTGGTTCCCACAGCATTCCCTTCCAACTTTCTTGCGCTCATCAAGAGTCAGAGCAGGAAAATGTTAAAAGACAAGCAAACACAATAACAAAACGACACACACACACATACATACACACACACACACACACAAGGAGGCTTGTCAAACTAAGAATTTCCTAAACATGCTCAAAGAGTTGTTCAGGAATGTTGTTCCTACAGGTACATCCTGTAAGCCTAGCGAATGCAAGCCCTACACAAAACTGTCTAAGTCAGGTCAGTGTCAGGTCAGCGCCAGCAAAATCATGGCAAAACTGCCTTTGCCGCTTGTGAAGGCCGATGGCAGCCACCTGCAAGGGCGCCATCCGAATCCATCAACCACGACTTTGCTTACAACATCGCCTAAAGAGCTTAGAACTGGCACAGGCAAATGGCTGAGATCGTTCTGTGGACTCCCATTTGCTTTTCCGTGCTCACACCCATGTCACTGGATCAGCCGTCGCGCGAATCACCAAAGGTTTCGTCATCAGCACCCATGACCTTACAACACCACGCGAGTTTGTTTGGCAAATTCAAGGGCGCATGCTGCCGCTGTCAACACTTCCTCGTCTTGTTGGAGCTCACGAAAGTCAAACCGACCGAGCTTACAGACTGGGCCCATTTTGCCTCTAGACAAGGAGAACCCTGAAACCCTCAGCTATGGGCAGCCGATGGCTTGTCATCCCGCTTCTTCTTGCTGATGCCGGAGATGATGTCGTCGATACCTGCCACACTTTACCGAGTTACAAGGTCATGCAACAAAGCGCCCACTATCCCGTCGACTATCCCTTGTCATGATCGTGGGTAGAAAGGCTGCTGTGCCTTTCGCTCGCACACTGTCCAGAACACATCGTGAGAGACTGCCAAGTCTCGAAGCAGAAACCAACAACAAATGCCATGTGAGTGGGAACTGCCTTGCGATGCCAGGCACATCGGCTATTCTGATTGATGTGCCATCCTCTTATTTTTATTCTTCTGTCTCAATGATTAATTGTATCAGTCTACTTTCTGTCTTCATACTATTCTAATCGTATTGACTTTCCTCCCTGAGCGTGGCATGCGCACGGAGCAGCATCGCAGCTGCTTCAATAGACGTCCTGCATCAAGTGCAGATCTGCAGCTGTTGCAATGAACCGGTATGTGAGTGTCCTGAGCGTCTGCTGCTTGACGGCAAATGTATCAAAGATGCTGAGAACCTCATGTACATGAAACGTGCCGCGGCGGCACCAAAAGCATGTCGTGGAACCAGCGCTTGTCACTTTCCAGCAAAAACCCTGCAGCGGGAACCTTCACGTCAGCAACCTTGCCAGTCTTGCCGTCTATGCCGATGTGAGCATTTCCTACCATCGCATGCTGTCTGACACGCCAAGCACCGCGAGGCACATCGAGGGCATCCTTTGGACTTGCCTGTTGCAGCGTGCCGGGCGCGCAGGTCTGTCATTGCCCGCACCACATCAGCACCTGAGCCACTGACAACAAAGGTAGCAATATGTTGCAATTTCCAGCAATTCCACATTGCTTCGCCGAAAATTTGAAAGCACCGCGATGGCAGGAAAAGTGGGCTGGGAGTGGGCTAGGAGTGGGCTAGGACCTAGGAGCTGCACCGCAGTTGTGTGCCAAACTGCGCGGGATCACTTCCAGGGCTTCACCAACCGCTTTGTAAGCATACCTGGGCAAAAGATAACATCACTGTCAAATCATGTCAAACCTATACACCAAACACAGGTCGGTACTGGCGGCTGCCCTCGATGCTCTTCGATTTCTCCTTCCTGACGCGTGGCATTCAGTCTTTCTGCAATGGAACTTCAGACTTCTGGCGCTTCGAGGCATCGAGGCACCGACAGTCTCGCTGCTAATTCCATCTCTACCGCACCGCCGCCCGGCAGAAGCAACCTGGCTACAGCTGGTGAAGCATCTTCACATTCTAGCACGCACGTGTTCAATCCAGCCGGCGCCACGGTTCAAGGATGATGTTTCGAGCCACGGCAAAAGCATCCTGACAAGGCGATTGACCCGTGACATTGGCCCAGTGTGAAGGTGGTGACGCTGAGTAAGCATGACAGCATACAGTTAGGGCTCTTCAAACATGTGAGTCATGTGCAGACGTTTGTGCTTATGTGGCCTGGAGGTTCCTCTCAATTTCATTGAGGACGTCCCTCGTGGCTCCCCGCAAGACAATTGAACCTGAAATGGTCTGCAACGCAGCTCTGGGGAGTTTCACACATCTGGCAAAAGGCACTTGTAAAGGCACTACTCGCTGTGGACACGCCGATTAAGGCCAGCTCAGGCTTTGGGATCCTCCGGCAAACGCCGGTCAGAAGTCCAGGGTAAAGCGGCTGCTGTAAGAGAGTCAGCTGTTTGGACTGCTGCCTGTCCTGGCACTCTGTCAGGTAAGTGAAGTACTCTTCCCCAACTTTGTTGACCTTGAAGCGTCCACACCTGGACAGCAAGCTTGTCAACTGACCATCGTCAGGAAACCGCAGCTGGCAAACCGCCGCAAAGGGATGCTAAGGCTGCTAAGGACTGGACTTTGTCCCAACCATAGAGTCCTGCAACTCCTGGCGCAGCATTCCGGCTCATGTGGTGCGTACCGTATGTCCTGAACCACTTCGGACTGACGTAATGGTTTGAATCGCTTTCCATCCACACTTCAACAAATTCTCTGGTAAGTGGGGCAACTTGACATGCGGAATCCGATGAGGCGGCGGGGCGACTGCAGGGCGGAAGTGGTGTCTTCAATGGTTTCTTGTCTTGCCCCAGCAAAGTCCTCTGTTCGGTTGCAGATGTGCGCTCCAGTGACTCTGGCCTCGGAGTTGCTCTCTCTCTCTCTCTCTATGACGAATTTCAAGACATGTCGGGCTCTCAACTCAATGCCAAGACATGGACGATTCGAAGGTTGTCCGTCTTGCGGATTCGCCGAATCACGGATACCCCTCCCTGGCTGCGACACAGACCAGCAAGACTCTCATCAACTGTGGTCTGTGCCGTGAAGCAGGTCTCTCAATCTGCTCAGCTGCAAATTCTATGGTTGGAGATTGAGTACACCTCCATGGATCTTCAAAGGTTCAGAGAGTGCTCAATTCGCGCCTTCATGAGAAAGTGCTGCGCCAGATCCTTACACAGTTCCGTGTGATTCTGTGTGGCTAGACAAGACTTCAAGGTGTGCTAGCTTTGACTCAGCTGATGGGCGGAAACCCCCTTCTCCGTGATGACAAGGTCGGGCTTGACCTTGAGGATGTCATCGCAAACTCTCCGCATCTCTTCCTGCGCACTTTGCACGCCATGTATCACAGCAACAGCCCAGCAGCCGACTGTCATGGCACCTCCTCTTGTTGCAGCAGCTTCTCCCAATCTGATTCCTTCGTGATTTCCACATTTGTTTGACCTGACAAATCAAATTCAAAACTTCGCTGACGAGCCCACAAACTGATCTGTGGCAGCTCCGCCAGTGTTTCGTATACACAGTCAACGACAACCAGACGAAGAGAAAACAAAAAGCCTGACCTGTCATCGGACTTTGACAGACTGATGTGGTGGGTTCTGGCATGGTGGGGGGATTGGGAGGGTTGCGCCGTGTTCTCAGGGCAGCGCCCACTGCTCTGCACTGTCAGGGGAGCGTGCCAAATACATCAACCTGTGACGAAGTGCTGCCGTGTCGCTCTCGCCCTTCTTGTACTCAAGCGGACAGTCTAGCAGCACGACCTCAACTCGAAGCGGTCACACTTGTTCTGTCACGAGGTCGTTCTTTGTTTGTTTTGTTTGCATTCCAGCCCAGAAACTCGTGGATTTCTGATTTCACGTCGCATTCGAGGATGAGTGATGTCCTTGTTGAACATAACTCCATCAAGCACCTGTCAGTTGTCTGGTGCCAATGTGTACTAGGACGAACGCAAACTTCAGGTTTTGCAGCGAAATTAGAACACTAAAGTCACACAGCACACTGCCTGACAGTCTGTGAGCTCGCCGCCCTGAATCTTCTCAACTTTTGCGAAGCGCTTGACATCGATTTCCTGGAGGGAAGCAGACGGCAAAAAAAAAAAAAAAAAAACATGGACCGAGCGAGAAATCAGCAAATAGCTCTTGGCAAAATCCACTCTTTGCTCTCCTTGCGGCCATCAGGCTTGACGATGCAAACTGTCTTGACAGCCTTGATGGCTAGGTCCGAGATCAAGGTGCCAAACCTATGCCCGAGTCAGCAGCTCACATTGGGGCACTACTGAGCAACCACATCCAAACTTGCCTGCTCGCGAACTTTGTGTCGATCGACCCGCGTACGATTTCCCGCAAGGCCTTCCGAACCCGTTCCGTCCCACTTTACATCCCATCATAAAATGAAGTGCGTGACAGCGGAAGGACCTCCGGATGCTCGAGGTCCACTGGGTACCTCGGGAAAAGCCGTGCGAGGGTGGCCACGAACAGAAACTTCATGTGAACCACTTGCGTGGAGCATTGAGTGGCGCACGCAAGTTCCTTCAGCAAGGTCTGCGCATCTTCCAGTGCCTTCATGTAGCCTGACCTGAGCTACTTTCGAACGTGCGACGTTGAATTGGCATAGGAGCATTGCAGAGACCTGAGATTAAGCCCTCGGCACAATGAGAGTTGGGTGCAACTTCTTTTCAATGAGTGGCTCTGCCACTCCCAAAAGCTCCCTGGCGAAGTAGCTTCTAGGCAGCTCGGGCTGCTCGCTATGTGTTTCGGGGCGCTGTGACACACAACGCATAATCAAGGCGGGATGGGCCCAGCCAGAATGATGACTGAGGTGGTGCCATCACCAACTTCTTCGTCTTGCGCTCGGCTCAGCCTCACGGCGCAGCTGTGCGCAGTATTTGCGGAATGATTTTCGGCTGCCCTCTACATCTCTTAGCCAGCGACTCGATCATGTTCTTGGCTGCCGGGTGCGAAACGTCTACCTCACACCAGGCCCAGGCTCAAGTGCCCATATGCGTCGTGCTCTTCAAACATCTGCAAACAGCTGCAACCAGCTGCAAAAACTCTCCACTTGCCTCTCGCAAAATGGCATTGCCATCATTGGTCATGACAATGCCACCCATGGGGTCCAACCTTGGCGCGCGAAATCAGATGAGCCCCTGTGCCGCAGGGGGCATTTGGCACACGAGGCTCCCCGATGCTCTCAGGATCAACTGATCACATTACAACATTTACAACATGTCGCCTGCTCTGTGCCACTTTGGCGATCTCTTTTTAATCGTTCTCTGCACATTGGGGTCGTCAGAACCGCGAGTTGATCTTTCACGCTTGTCTGGCGTCTGATCGTCTCTGTACATACTCCGTTCTTGCAATTCTTGATCCTCAAGAAAGAGCTGCGGAGTTCGAGCTGGGATCTCTAAGGGCAGGTCCCACTGCGGACTGCCGAAAAATCACACCAGCTGCAGTTGAATTTTAAAGTACTTCTGCCATCCAACAACAAGTTGATACAGCTTTGCGTTCTCTTGATCCGCGAATGTACTAGTAGATGCTACGGCAGGCTGTTGTTTTGCGGCATCTTTGGTCACTGTGCCGGATCTAAAGTGACAGCCTCTGCCAGCCGCTCGCGAATGCATTTTGCAGCGACATCGCTAGCTGATGAGAGGCCATGCCATGCTATCTCCAGGGCACTGCGTTGTATGCGCGAATCGTCTCAAGGCATGATATTGGCTCCCATACTTGTCAAGCATGTCGTCATGGAACTGGTGGTACTTCTCAGCCTTACGGGATTGCATCAGCTCAGGCATCCGTTTGAAGCTTTGTCAGATGCACAATGCAAAACGAAACTACAAAGCCAAACGCCATTAATCATGGCGAAACGCTACATGGGCCGGAAACTGCGCCGTGTCATACACCAGCACGGTGCCAGTGCCGAGTGTGTCGCCATCGTCTCCTGCTTTCCCATGGCATAAAGCAACCAGCCGCCTAAACAGGCCTTTCGTGAGCCCGCTGCAGCTTAAGCTTTACCTCGTTTTCTAGTAGCCCCACCTGGCCCACCTCTGTAAAGATGAGCTTGCCAGCTTGCACAGGCACAAGGGCGAGCCATTTTTTTGAAAATAGGTTTCTCGTGCTGGTAAAATGTTCTTAAGACTTTCCGGCATTCTTTTTCAATAGCCCCTCTATCCTCCTTTCGCTCCCCCCTCTTCCCTCCAAAGCTTGCTTTTGTTCTCTGACTCGATCCCTTGATTAGCTTCTTAGATATGGCTTGAGCTGCCTCAGGAATCAGGTGCCAGAAGCCGTGAGCTTGCGGCTACTTAAGATGCCGGGCCAAAGTTTCACTGGCCCGTAAAAGCCGCAGCCAAAAAGGCCGAAAGGAACCTTTGCACCATGCCAAGTGCTGGAAGGTTTGGGGGCCGTTTCGGGCTTGAGGAGCTGTTGGGTGTTCGGCGTTCAGGCTCCCTGAGGCCCTGTGGTGATAGTCCTCTTCCAGCCACAAGCTTTGTCTTTCCAGCTTCAGCTCGAACTTGTGCCATTAGTGGGGACTCGATGCCGCCAGGGAGCCCGATAACCTTGCGCAGAAGTGAGAGACCGCGAGCAAAACACTATCACCACTTACGCGACTGAATGGAAAGTCAAGATCAAGAGATGGACAGTCGAAGAGGACTGAATGCGTTTCTGCAGCCGATCTGTACTCGCCACCCACATCTTGGACATCTCGTCTTAATCCGCCGGGGCAGGCTTGAAAAAATCTGCCAGCAATGCTTCCCATGTCATCTTGAGGCCTGGGGAAATTGAAAGTGTCGAGACTCTGAAGTCTGAGGAGTCTCGACGCAGCTCCAGCAGGCCCGACAAGGGCCCAACACAAGGGCCCAACAAGGGCAAGGCATGGCCAAGGGGCACGGTCATCACCACCACCTCAGCGTGTCCCAGCTGGCCATAGTCTGCCTCAGAGTCTGACGGCGACGAGCGATTTCGCATGATTTTCGCGGCATCTTCCGCCCGGCCTTGCCCGCCATGTTGTGGTAGCAAACCAGACCAGCTTCACCAACCCTGGTCCCACCAGCATAAGCCGTTCTTGAAGTGAGATTGCCTTTGCAAAACTCTGCAAAGGAGCTCTGTTCTCCCGTGGAAAGATTTCCCAGAAACATCTTGGATCTGGGCCGTCTTTGCGGCAGAGCTTTGTCATTTCTTCGACCCTGCTCAGATGCACGATTCAGAATCGTGCATTGCAGAAATTTCTGCAGAACAGGCAGGCACTACGCATTACGTCAGCTTTGCTTCTGAGATGTCGGCACAAACTCATGCTGCATGTGCCAGAAACATCCACACCCAAAGTAGACTTGGACCATCTTGCTGCTACCTGAGCTGGGGAAAAGAGCAGCTCCTGGTGACCCTTTTGGTATACCTACATGTCGAATCAGGGCTGCGGGTCCACTCGGATCAGGATACAAGGCCCTAATCATGCAAGGCCACGCTATCCCCGCTGCGATCCGATGGTTGATGGGATCGATCCCTTTCTTGACCCATAATTCCTGCCCGAGTCTACCCTCCTGAAGCTTGCAGCTCCTGGCACCGATCCTGGCAGCCTGGAAACGAAACTGTTCCTAATTTACAGCTTGGGCACCTGGCAGCGGCGCGCCACATGCTTCAGGCAGATCAGCTGCTGCTTCTGCACAGCCGTTCAAAATCACTGGCAAGAGCCTGGTCACGGCACTTCGAAGGGCATGCGGTCATCAACAAACCTAGATCGACAGAAAGCGAGATGAGAGGAGTCTATCGAACAAGGGACAAGCGTCCATAGCAAGATAGATATTCCTACAAGTTCACCGAGGTGTCAGTAGGGCATCGTGTTCACATCACGTTTGAATGTGCTAGCAAGCGGCAGGGTCAGACCCCGCAGGCACATCACCGGCAAGGCGCGATATGACAAGCCCATGCTTGGTGATGCCCAAAGTTGCTTGAGCCGGAAAGCTTCAGCGGAACCACTCACCGCTGGAACGCAACAGCTTCACTGGAGAACGAGGTGCCCGGCAGCATCTTCAGCATTGCTCTCGGCCCCAGGGTTGTCCGCACAATGCCAGCCACTGTCTTTCCTGCCTCTGGATGTGGACAGTACCGTGTTTCGGAAGTCAACTGCTCATGCAGAGCTGTTGCGTGGAAGTGGGGTCGTCCTGGATGTTGGTCAGCTGAGCCTTACGTCCCTGACAAACATGTGACCATGTGCATTGAGTATGGGAATGTGGACAGAAACCCAATCAGCAATGCACACCTGATCCCGCTTGGCGTTCTTGTTGATGACAAAAACGCCTTGCTGCCCTCCTCACATCAGCATCTTCATAGGCACCAGCGGTACAGAGTCTATGTCCGGCTGTGCTACATCGTGTGAATTCCATCGTGCTCAGCCACCGCCTCCCATTGCACCTGGGGGCATCATCTTTTGCGGCCGGCCTTGAGAAAATCTGGCGACCGTTTGGCAAAGGTAGTAAAGGAGTCTTTTTCCAACTGAAGGCACGTCTCAGTTCCCTGCAGGTTCCGCGGAGGTGCGGGCAGCGAAAACTTGCAATACTCCGAGCCGAAAGACGGGGCGAATCCAGCGATGAGGCCACACGACTGACATGACCAAAGGCCGACAACCTACATACGACATACTTGGCAGGGACAGGACGTGGGATTGGCACTTGCTTGCTGTCTCCTGCACCTTGCTCACATGTCCAATTGCGGGCACCTCTTCGCAAGGCTAGGGCAACGAGTCGCGCGTGCATGGCACTTGGACAATCTACAAGGCCACACTGTCACGGCTGCACAACACACTGCTACCAACTAGAAAAATGAAGGGGTGCGAGCTTCGCTTACACACTGTGAAGATTGCGGATTCCCAACACCAACCACCGAGGTCCTGAGGCCAACTATGATCATGTGTAACGCATCATGAGCAGTGCTTGAGATTGGGTCATGAGATCTGTTTCAGCAGGAATGTCAATCGACAGCACACAAGGCATGCGCAAAAATGTCGATCAGTACTCACTCTTTGCTCCTCCTGATCTGAGCACCCACACTTTGGCAGGCAGAACACCAGTGGAACGCTGCACTCTGGGGCAAGTCCACGTTCAGGCACAGCACCCGCGTTGATCGTCTGGTGGCAACCGGAGCTGTCGCACCATCGTCAAGTCGAGCTACATCATCTGCTCCCTCAGCATAGCTGGGCTTTGGTGTGTCGCAATATGGATTTGACTACTGCTTCTGATTGCTTCTGCAAGTTTAAGCTCCTAGCTGGGCTGGCGCTCTGCTCGGACCCTGCAGGATTCCGGCATGTCGCCACACGTTGGCTGGCTGAGGTCTTTTCTACTAAGTACAAGGCGACCCCTCCGCCCCTTGAATGACGTCTTCTCTGGCATTCTTTGCCACTCATCGCTATTTCATACTTTAACTAGTCTGAGGCTGTCTCTTCAGTTGGTCCGCACTTTGGTGCATTCGTTGCCTTTCACTTTTGGTACTCTTTTCGGAAGCTCTGTTTCTAAAGCTCTGTGCGCTGCCTGCGCGGCGTCCATGGTGCACGGCGCCGCAGCGTAGCCACTCTGCCTGGAGCACCATACATCATATAAGCTCGTCTGGAATTCTGGGCAAACATCTCACTGGGCCGTCGGCGGCACTTGCTGCCCAGCCTGGCAAGGGGTCACGCCCCACCCCCGAGCTCTCCGCCTTTCAGCGACCCCATAGTGTAGCCGCGCCCCCACCGCCCTCAGAACTCCCCCGCGCCCGCCCACCGCCACCCTCACCGCCCTCACCCCTCGGCGGCAGGAACATGCAGGGGCGCCTGCATTCGTTTTTTAAGATGTTCAACGAAGAGCACTTGGATCTTGACAAACTCAAGCTTGTCTTCGTCCGACAGGCGCTTTATCCACGCCAACCTGGCAGACATAAAGAGCTAGTGCAATCATCAGCGAAGCAATCCTCCAACGCGAAAAGGAAAACCAGCTGTCATCACCGGCCATCCGGGGGAAGTTGCTGGAAAACCTGCAAGATGCTTCACAAGCCCCACTTGTCCCTGCCACTTTGACCACCGATTTATGGCTCGGGGTTGGAGTTTGCAAGGCCTCCATCTTCTTCATGGCCTTCTCTCCCAAGAATGCGTTCTTCCTGGTTCAAGGCAGATCGATTTTCCGGCAATGTTCCGTCCCTCATGCTTAGTAAGATCCCGACTCTTCTTCTGACATCGCGCCTATCTGCTCCTTGGCCTTTGCCGTGCAATAGAATTCAATAGAGGCAACAGTGCGGCAACAGTGCATCGCAAGTATTTGCGATGCTCTCAAAGTCGCCAAGCCTTTGGGATGACTTTCTCCATCGCCGCTGAAAGCTCTTTGTCGATGACCCTAGGAAACGTCTCAGAACCGTGGCAACTAAGTAACCAAGCCGTAACTAAGCTACTAAGAGCTGGGAGTCCGACATCGTCTGCATCTCCGGCAGCTCACCTCCGGCTTCCTCGTCTGCGCTCTCAGTGCGAATGTCACCATGTGCACAGCCCTCGAAAACTCGAAAAGCAGAGCTCGGTCTCCTGATGAGCTCTCACTGCTCGCATGCAGCTTTGCTCTGCTTTGCTCTTCCACATCTGCAGGGGCACCGGGCTTGCACCAGGTGGCTTGCATGGGCTTGCATGTTTGGCAGGATGCCACTCCTGCAGCTTCTGCGCCATCTCAGCATCGTTCGGGAAGTCCTGATGTTAAGAGACCCATGTCATAGGCATAGCCGGCGAACCGACAATGCATAGTTGCAGGTCCTGACCGATTCTGGACAGCACGGCGCAGCCGTGTTCCTGCTCGAAGCCCATATCCTGAAAGCGTGAGTTGCTCCCAATGCTCCCACGGGCTTGTTGAAATTTCGTCTGTGGCATGCGCTTTTTCGGATCGACGTTCGAACTCGCAGCGTGGCTTCGGGAAACGATCAAGATTCAAGATGTGCGCGCATGACTTGCACAGCAACTTGAGTCGAAAACAATTATGAAACGATCTCGTCGACTCTTACAATCGCAAGGGAACAAAAGGAGAGAAGAGGCACGGAGTAGAAAGAAACCCGCATCATGACTTTACTGCGTGCCACGAATCTGAGTGCGGCCACTTGCTATACGCTCCTTCACACGGTGGTCCGACGCGCTGTATGATAAGACATGCATTGAGATAAACCAAATCGAGGCTCCAAGTGCGTCTCTAGACTCTAGAATCACGCAGTGTCAACATATTATCGAAACAACACTGTTGAACGACACACTAACAGGTTTCGCAATCAGTCCCATGGCGTACTCATGTGAAGCAAAAGCGCTGATGACAGCCTCCAGCAGCTCCCGTTGCATGGAGATTATGAGCTCGTTGGGAACCTCTCATTGCACGTTGTGTCTCAGAACGCAATTGAGCAGACCAGGCCTTCTTTTGCACTGCTAAGTATGTCAGCAGCTCCTGCAAGGCTGCAGCACGCAACACCAAAATGGCATCAAGTGGCATCCATGGCACTGACAGCTCCGTGATCCGTGAGCCTTGTGCGTATCTGGCAGATCCATCCTCCCATAACCGATAGAACATCACAGCGCACTCCATATGGAAGAACTCGTGAAACCGGCTTCGTCCCATTCACCACAATCAATAATTATAGGCCACATTGGCAATGAACTTGGGAGGAATCAGTATCAGTCCTTGTGTTGCAAACATCAAAGAACTCAAGAATTTTTGCCTCAGTTGCACAGCATGCCGGTGCTAACACTACAAGTGCTGCCTTCCTCCGCTACTACCGCTGCCAAAGCTCAGCCATCATGAAAACACAAGACAGGAAGGAACAACAACGAGCTCGTTTCAGATTCTGATTCGCGCGAAGCTCCACAATGCTTCACGATGCCCTTCCTTCTCGCGATGCCAAAACGAGCCGTAGCAGCAGCAGCAGCAGCAGCAGCAGCAGCAGCAGCAGCAGCAGCAGCAGCAGCAGCAGCAGCAGCAGCAGCAGCAGCAGCAGCAGCAGCAGCAGCAGCGCGCCGCCGCCGCCAACCAGCAGCAGCAGCAGCAGCAGCAGCAGCCAGCCAGCAGTCAGCCAGCAGTCAGCAGCAACAGCCAGCCGCCAGCAACCAGCAGGCAGCAGGCAGTAACCTGCAGCCTGCAGCCTGCAACTTGCTTGCAGCCCAGCCAGCAGCCCAGCAGCCGCAGCAGCGGCGCCAGCATCAGTAGCAGCAGCACCACCAGCAGCACCACCAGAAGCAACACCACCACGACCACCACCACGCCCACACGACCCCACCACAACGACCCCACCACCACGACGCCGCCGCCACGACCCCACCACCACCCCACCACCACGAGACCACCACCACGACCCGCCACCACACGACCCCACCACCACGAGACCCCACCACCACCTCCTCAAGACCACCACCACAAGACCACCACCACGAAACCGACACCACGAGACCACCACCACGACCACCACGGCCACCACAACTGCGGCTTGCGCAGGCCTCCCATGTCTCAAGCCGGAGCTAAGTTTCCTGCTCTTGGCATCGGCTTCTTGCTTTCCAGCACTGCCGGTCTTCTGTCTTTGACTGCCTGCAGATACCTGCGTAGTAGAGTTGCCAGAGACAAGCACATTCACAGTCATCGGGCATCAGGAATGCCAACGCTCAAGGCGGGCACGTTCGCATTGCAGTAAGCATAAACTCCTGGCGAACCTGGAGCAGCTCTTTGTTTCCTGCCGGCCAAACAAGAAGTGCAGCCCAGCTTCGCAACTCACCGGTGGTGCCTGTGGTTAAAACATGTTATCATGGCATTCGGTTCGTCACCAGCTGAGCTGCTTCACGCGATGACTGGCAAAGCGACACGTGTCCTGGATTTGCACCTTGGTATAGCATCACGGCATCACGCATGACGAAGCTGATTCCAATTGCAAGCAATAATTTATCAGTGTAGGATGAATGAATTGTCTCCGAGGCACTATCGATTTGATCCAAGGCTTTGCACCCGACGTCCGCATCGTATCCCAACGGGGCCCACCTCGAAACAACCACAACGCGGCTACATCACCCCAACTCATTCGTTTGTAACCAAATGGGGTCTTCTTGCGTAGCAAATGGCAAAGCAGGCCCAGGTCCACTTTACATAGGCAGAGAAATCTCCTTAAGCTTTCATCTTCAGTCCGACCGAAAAGGCCACCTGCATGCAGGCTGCTTTAACAAGTTTTGGAGCGACAAGGGTGGCATGACAAAACGACGAACAAGAATCATTTGCTTCGATCATCCCCACCCTACAGAAAACCTCTGTGGGCCATTCTGCCGTTGTCGAACAAGTAATCCGGCTTCTTGCGCGGACTGGAAATTTCTAGGGGTGGGCACTCCAAGGATTCTCCGCGACCGACCTCGAGACTCAACTTAGCAAGGCAAAAGGTCTTCCGCAGGAGAAAAACAAGGAAAGAGACTAAAGACATGGTGCGATTGGTTCGGCTGACGTTGCTTCGCGTTTCCTTGAAGATGTTTTGCATGCAGACCCCACAGCGTGCCGACGCAATGGTCGAGACCCGCCCGAAGGAGGGTTGCAGGAATTCCCACCTGACAGAACGAGGCGAAGGCAGCAAGGCGCTGCAGATCGCTGCAGGGCGGCTGTCCCGAGTTTTGTTCGAAACTCGGGAGGGCGGGTCCGTGTTGTGTTCTTTGCGGCTAACTGGCTACGAGTATTTAGTTTTTGGGTAGGCCAATTAGAAGGCAACCGGAACGAACACCCCGAGAAAGAACACCAATAGCGAGTCTTTGCGGGATTTTCTGAGCGTGGGCGCTCCAGGATACTTTCTGCGGGGCTTCCCCCCGTGTTCCCCAAGGATACTTTCTGCGATACTCTTGCAGGGATGTACTCTTTCTGCGGATGGGCACCCCAGTGATGACTCTCTGCAGGCTTCTCTGGACGGGTGGGCACTCCAGGCCTATTTGCTTCTCTGGGGGGTTTGGCAATCCAGGGGAACTCCAGGGACCGGGCGGAGACCGGGTGGGGCACCGGCCGAAGAAGCGAGGAGAAGTGTCGACTTACATGTAACAACCCCGCACCGAGGGTAAAAGAATCGTCTCGGTGGTCCGGTCCAATGAAGCACGTGCTTCAACAAAAGCAAGGTTCGTACAATTTTTGGGCTTCTCAATCTCACCGACCGAGCATTTCTGGAGCGTCCGGCGCCCCCAAACAGCTCACATTTTGTTCACGTCGAGGCATTGCACAAAGCGCACATGTTACGTAAAGAGGATCGCGAGAATACCCTCGGTCATGCTCAGCTTTGTGTCGGATTTCTTTCTCCATGAACATGTCGGGAAATGGATCTAGACCTATGCTTTGAAATTCATGCGCTTAAGATGCATCGACGTGCGTCGACCCGGGTTAACGGGCGGTCTGCAAAGTCAGCAACGGCAGCTACATAGTTCTTTTCCAGGTTTGGATAAGTCATTTGCCCTGCCATACACAAAACCACGTACCGAATGTTTATCTTGGAGGCGAACTTGTTAGGTTCAGGGTGGGGAGGATCGAAGTAAACGAGCTGTATGTTGGCTGCTGCCTTGCCAAAGAACACAAAGTCCTCGAATCAAGCCCTGAAAACACTCCTAGCCGCTCCAAAGCACGATGCCAAATTTATGCAGCTTGCACTGCAGAAAGTGAAAATTTTAGTGTTGGCCGAGCCACCCTGCTCGCTGAAGCTCAATCAACTTGTGTCCAGCATGTGGTAGGGCCGCATCCTGCTCGCATTTATCGGATGGAATCTATCATCTAGCAGTTGCCATAGGCTTGGATGAAGGCACCGCGCCTTCAATTGTGCACGGGTTTCTTCCGTCTGCATCATCTTGATCTTAGGGAGGCACACCGGCACTCTTCATCCACCAAAAAAAAGTGAATCGTGCATCGGGGCAAGGACACCAGCTCGCAAGAAGTCAAGCATCGCCTGGAAAGCCGCGACGGCCCCAACGGCTGCATAGCAAGCAAATCACACTCTGCGACTCGTGGCAACAAGCACCTCATTGCTCGGAACCTTTGGCATTGCTTGACGACCTGGGTCTTAGCAGTCCGAGCTTGCAAGGGAAGCCGAAAGTTGTTGCTTTGGACAAGCTTGGAGTATCCAGGCGTCATGCTGCCAAAGCCCGAAGCTTCAGCGGCAAGTGATAGGACAGCAGGAGGTGTGTGCAAGAACTAGGCTACGTCAATGATTGGCACTGGTCGCTGCTTGCGTTGCTTCGTTGTTGGGTATCTTGTTTGAACCCAAGCGGATGCTAAACAGGCACCATGTCAACAAACGGCCCCCACAGATTCAGCATGATGCCACTTGCATTTCACGATGAGAGCTGTTTCTGTGCTCGGCAGACAAGCTAGGAAGCGTCAACGGGCCCAGGCAATCGGCAATAGAAGCGATGGAAGCCTGCGCGCCAAGGAAAGCTATGGAAAGCTCTCCCAGAAGCGTCAAAAGCGCAAAGAGGTTCTGGAGTCTGGCGCACCTGACAGGGCGTTGCCCCACCATGAGTAGAGCTGCGACGCCAGGAGCCCGATCCCGGGCGGCCTCCAGGGCATCCAGCCAATCAGATCCACGAAGATGCTTTCAGCGCAGCACGGTTTCACAATGCTGGGTTAGCGCGTGGTTTAGGTGGGTTCAGTGCCGATGCGTGCTAACATTGTTGCGTGATCAAGAGGGGTATGCAAAGGTTGTCGACTCGTGACGTGCACAAGCCCTTTTTTTCATTTTCAAATTTAAAATGACGGGATGGATCCAGACTAACTTCTACACAAATACAAATACCTATCATTGCATACCGGCTGGGCTAACAAATGACATGAAATCTGATACTCTACTCAAGTACTTCTGACTGGTATGAACTTTCCGTATTGCACGCATGTATGAAGAGCACAACCCTACAAGCACAGAATGTAACTCTCGAAAAACAGCTAGTTAGAAAAATACCATTGCTATCAAGGTGTGCTGAGTATGGCCGTCTACCAAACATACCAATGATAAGGGTCTGATAGACAGAGAGACCTGTCGTAGTCGTACCGGAACACGAGCACGGCGGCCATACCTTTTGACACCATCGCTTGGCAATGTGGGTAAGACTGTATAAACGCACCGATGTACCTGCAGCCCTTGCTGCCGAGGAGCGATCGTAGCGACGATTTGCTGCAGTGCGGTGGAGAAGCCTGGCCGGATGTTCAAGTTAGTGCCATGGGCATGGCTACGCATGGCTGTCATGCTCTTTCCCACGACAGGCGACATGACGAGAATGCCTCGAGTCGTACAGCAAGGCATCCCCCAGCTCCAAAGTCACAGCCTTTGAACAGTCTCTTCGGACGCGGCCCTGCACTCGGGGCCTGTCTAAGTCTCGAGGCCCCGACCGGTCGGGAATTGGCTGACAGCATGGAGCGCAAGAAGGCGCGCGCTTTGCTGACAACACCTTGTTCCTTCACTCAAGTCACACGGAGGAAGTTGAAACAAACCATCTTGCAAAAAGTTTTGCTTGCAGATCAGCAAGCCCAAATCCGCTGATCGATTTGCTACTTTTCATATCTTTTGATAATATTGGAGATTCCTGAAGATCTCGTAAAGGTACTTTACTCTGGTCGCCTGTGCACCTATGCTGTAAAGCTCTGTCCTGTCCAACACAGTGATGCGAGCCAGGAAGAAGCAAGGTGGCACCCATGTCCTTCAAACGTGGGAGTTGTGTAAGTTGTGAAAAGGAAAAAGCATGAAAAAGCCTGGCAACAGATACCTAAAAGCGGCCTAAAACGGACTGATTGCAGTTTGCATTGCATTTGCCTACGGGGCATGGGGCGGCCTCGGGAACGGCTGTCAGCGGCACCACGAGGGTCAGACCAGGAGCTATGTTGTCCATGTGCCAGAACCTTGGGGGCAGCAGTGTCGAAACTGGCGCAAGTCTCAACGCAAGTCTCAACGCAAGTCTCAACGCAAGTCTCAACGCAAGTCTCAACGCAAGTCTCAACGCAAGTCTCAACGCAAGTCTCAACTTGGACTCACATTCAACAGATGAGCGTGGCACTGGTCGACAGCACAAGGATCTGAGGTCATCAGCTGGACCTCAAACTTGAAAAACATCTGTGAACAAATGGCATCGCTCTTCGCCGGACTCTAGATACTCAGATTCTCCTCTTCAACACTTCCCCGGACCCGGAACTTCCCGAGAGGCCTCCGACACGTACGGTCTCTTCGTGAGCGGGTACCCCGCCTTGGCATGTGCAAATCGTGCGAGCAGGTTGATCATTGCCTCTCGGCGATGTATTTGACGCGCTGTGTTCCCTGCCGCAGCGTGCTGGCGGCACAAGACCTCCCAAACCTGCAGCAGTTTTGTAACCAGAACCACATCCGGGCGGCTCGTATGCTTTCCATTCGAGCTGCAAGAGGCATGGCCGCCCTTTGCGCCGCTTGCACTGCCTGCCAACATGCATTGCATCAACACGCAGTCACAGATGCCCTAGAGAACCCCTCGAGCACTGATGAGAGCAATGGGTCCTCCTCGAAGACTCGTCCACGCAGATAGTAGTGTTGTCGACCAGGTGCCGACATCTCACAAGCGATTGAAGGTTTTCCGCACTGCCCTTGAAGCCTCGTCTCTGGGTGCGCACATAAGGCTCAAGTTCCTCATCCTCCGCCTGAACATTTCAAACTAAGGTTTAAGGAGTCTACGGCAGAGCAGAGCATGCTAAGTCGTACCGACTCTGCTGGTGCGCAATGCCTGCAGAGCTTCAGCTTTGAACTCGCGAACAGGCACAGCTTCCGGAGGGCCCCTACCTGCACCAGGTGAGCTGCCACTCCTTCACTGCCTCCCAGCCCCTAGAACGTGCACGTCTGCATTTAGAGGAATGTAAAAGTATGATGCGATGGTGTACTGGCACTGAGGGGTGCGCTGCGAGCGATGTCCATGGCACTGCTGTGAAGGTGCACTTGCCCGCGCAGCTCGCCCACCTCCCCGACCAGCAGAATCTGCTTGTGAGTGGCAACTTGAAATCGTGCACATCTCGCTCACTTGCTTCTCGCCTCTAAACTCACCAAACGAATAACATCCTCCAGCACAGGAGCCTCCTTCAGCGTAAGCATTCCTTTGAGAATGGCCACGCCGTGCCTTACAGATCATCACCTCTTATCGTCGTTATCGTCGGGTTCAAGATCTCCAAGCCACGCCAAAGGAGCTTTACCATGCCGAGGCACACTTCCAAAGCATCAGCTGCAGCTTGCCATTCCTCCCGAAAGCACGTGCACCAGAGTCAGGCTGAGTGAGCAAGATTGCTGCATGGGCGTCCTCTGGAGTAAGGGAGCGTCGGACACTTGCAGGATCTGAACCTGCCTTCAGTTTTGCATCAAGGGCCCGTGCAAAAGGCAACATGCTTGGAGTGACAATGAACGGCTTGGTGGGTATGGCTAGGGCAAGCCATTCACTGCAAACGTCTCACACAATTCGTGGAGCTTGAAACCTGACAGTGCTTCAGTTGCTAACGGTCGCGCACCGACAAGACATTTTGAAATTTTAAACAAACCACCAGAAGCGTGTCGCGGGCTCGCGGAAAGAACTGGCACATGAGGTTTCAGGACGGAGGTTTCAGCATTGCAAAAAAAAACGATGGAAATTGGCTTGTCCCTAAAGGTGTTCTCGGTTGTTTTAACCCATCACCGTTTTACAGTGGTGGCACACAAAACACAGTATTATTCACTAGAATTCTTATCGTTTTGCAGTGTTTGCATACATCGAGCCTTTCAAGGGTTTACCGGGGAGTTGGAGTCCTTTGAACAGACAAGGCTTTGGGAGCGCGCTCCCCATCGTGAACAAAATGTTATCGTTCTGGTTATCGTTTTGTTATCGCTTTTGACCTAAAGCAAGCGACCGAATCTTGATGGTGTGGGCTCTTGCTTTGAATCCGGGCCAAAGCCCCTACAACACGTTGCAAAGCGTTGCAAAGCACAGCCACTGGACCACACGCTGCCAGACAACCAAATCCTGCATAATGTTATCGTTTTAACTCCTTATCGTTTTACTTACCCGGGTGCATTCCTTTCTAAGCCTCAATCCGCGCGGTTTTTGTTACAACCCCCCGTGTTGTTTGCCCGCCTGGCAAACAGCTCTTGCACCTCTCCGTGCTGACGAAGATGCGATGAGATTTACTCTATTCAAGCCCGCGACGTCTAGCAAAGTACGACTTGGAGATGCCAAAGCCTCCTGTTTAGATCAACAGTTCCAGTGCACACGCTGCCACCCTTCTGCCCCAGCTCATTTTGCAGCAAAAGACTTGCGAACCGTAACGCCACATGACTGGTGTCTACAAACGCCTCTTTTAAGGGCGGACTTCGTGTGCAATATGTTGTGTCCAAGTCCAAGCGTCTTGAAAAATTGTAACTTCTTTTTTTGTTAAGTTCGACAAAAACAAGCGCTTCCTTCAAAACAGATCACAGACTTCAGAATCTTGCCATGGCTCGCTTGGCCTTCTCTTCGAGAAGACAGAGAGGCACCTCGGTGATTTGAACGCATAAACGGGCGCTTGTTGCGTAGGCAGCACATGGGCCTCGCTGCCAATGTCTCGCCCATAAGACTCGTCAATCTGAAGGGGGCACGGAGTGAGGGCAAACATTCAATCCTCAGCACTGACATGCTGACCTGGGTTACGAGATCGATCCCCACATTGGCGGCCCGCGGCCTGCAAAGTGTCATGGTCAGCGACTACCTGTAAGAGCAAAGCCTTCAACGAAACAGCTTCGTGATCGTCTTGAGCGTTCAAAACATCCAGTACGGGTTCCGTCCATACATACGAAGCTTCAGATGTTCAAAGGTAGAGCGACCACGCCATGCCGTCCTCTTTGCTTCAAGTGGCTCCTGGAAAAAGCCAGCTTGCCTCCACTCCTCACTTGGCGGTGATGCACACGTGCATGCCCTGCACTTGCATCACATGCTCATCGATGCTCCTCAACAAGTTGCACGTAGAGGTGTCGTTTGTCCTTGCACATCGTCCAGTCAAGCTCAAGCACAACACAGGTACCAAGCAGATGTCAGGAGCCCGTCCTGAAGCTTCTCGGCTTCCAGTTGAGCGCGCATGAGGTCTCGCCTTCGAATCCGGACGAGATGACTGGGTTTGACTTTAGGGCGCCGAAGCTCGCTCTCCAGCCGGGGTGGACAAAGAGGAGATTCCGCAGCTTGTCGCCGCCACTCGACGAAAAAATTATCATTTCAGGGTTTAGGCTTTTCCAGGATGTAAGAAGCAGTGCAGGAAACACTTGCTAGTACCACAAGCTTACGAACGCAGGTGCATGAAACATTCAATGAAAGCGGACGCAAGCTGACGGGCTCAGCCGCCCAAAAGCTCACATGAAGATTCACATGAAGCTTCGCATGTCTTGCAAGATTCTCTGAGAGCTCGGCTCGATGGGGCCGCGGAGTCTCTGTGCCGCACGGCGCAGCGCCGCCACCTCCGCCGCACCGGCACCAGCCTCAGAAAAGTGCCCCGGGGCTAAATCCCCACACACACGATATCATCGCATCCCGTCCTCACGTAGCTGCTCCACCACAGAGCCTGTGCTCTTGTTGTTTTGGTTCTCCTCTTTCTCTTCTCTGTGTTGCGAAGCTCGAAAAGGTGACCGTCATTACCATCACGGGCCTGACAGCCTCGAGTCAGCCGTACACCTGTCCAGGGAACAGCCGGTGCACGATCTGGCGGAAACTGGATGATCTTTTGACCAAGCATGAGCAATGGAAACGCAGGGCCGTGCGTGCCTGAACGTGCAAGATGCCGCGAGAAGATCACCCTTCGGAGGCACCTTGGTTGAGCTTGCAATGGGTGAGAAGCCGTGGAACGCAGGTTCGCCTAAGACGCCTGCCTGTTGCTTCCACAAGATCAGAGCACCTCTTTGCGGGTGCAGGCAGTGCAGGCTCTGCAAACACACGGCCTAAACTCACAGAAGCTCATTGGCCAGGAGATCACGCGGTGGCCTGTGCTCAGAGCGCTGGCTGCCACAAGGGGAAGAGATCGGCGGCCAAGGTTTTGCCAATCGATTTTCTGCAGCAGAGCGCATTCACAGGTGCACAACAAACTGCCTCAACGGATGGTGTCTTGAGTGATTTGCTCCACATATTCAGCATGACATGTTTTGAGTACCCGTCCATCTTTGTGAGGTCGTGCCATGCTTTGCGGAACTCCAAAGTGACACCCTCGGCGCAGTTCCAGACATGCAAATGCCAAGCTGAGTGAGTCTTTTAAGCACGGACAGTGTTGACAAGGGAACAGCGCCTCCATGAGCGAAGAGCGGCACCCCCATAGCAAAGAATGTCACTGCGTTAGTGCCAGTAGGCTTGCTTCTAGTTGAGGTGGAAGATGTCTGCGACAACAACCAGTCGGCTTGATGATGCTTGCCTTAGCTGCCAGATCCAAGCGGCGCTGTGTCTGATGCTATGCTTGTCTTTTGGATTCGCCTTGTCATGTTGCCAGACATGGCTACACAAGTGCAGAGGCTGCACGGGCTGCCAATATTGGCTCTCGAAGACTTGATGTCTGCGCGGGACCGCAACTAAAGCGGAGCTGTTTGTGCAAGTGCCACCTGTGAAATGCATGGATTCATTGAGCAGCATGCAAAGCACACGGTGTTTACTGCACCCTTTCAATCTCAAGTGCTCTGGCAGATCTGTCAGATCTTTGCTGACCTATGAAGCGCACGCTCTGTTTACACGCATTGATGGCTGCATTATAGCTGTACTCATCCGGTTGCACACGGTGTTTAGATATCTCATCCAGGAGCTGCAAGGCCAGCTCCCACTTTCCGCTGTTCTCCAATGCTGTGATCATTGCATTGAATGGAATTGCATCTTCAAAAAGGCGCTTTGACACAATCGTTCTGAAATGACACAAAGCTCCAGGCCATTCGTTTGCTTTCGCAAAAGCGCTTATCACTGCATTGTAGCCAACGCAGCTAATTTGCACGTTCTTCTGATGCATAGTGTCCAGTAAGGCATGTGCCAGCGACCACTGGGCTGATTTCTCACAAGCGCTGATGCCACCATTGCAGCCGATGCCGCTACAACCGATTTCGCTAGCGGACCACAAGCTCCACAGGGACCACTCCCAGTTGGCGGCCTTTTCACCGGCGCTGACGGATGCGCTGAGACTGAATGCGTCCACAGCCAAGCGATGCCATCTTGCAGAACACACAATTTGAGATGCCAGCTCCCACTCTGCTCTCTTTTCACAGGCGCTGGCTGCAGCATTGTGCATCACAATATCACATCGCAAGATGGCAACATAGGCATTCTGCAGAATTGCAAGGGCCCATTTCCACTTGAAACCTTTCTGGCTTGCACTCACGCATGCCGCCTGGCTGCGGACGTCGGGCCGCAGGTTGCAAAATGCCATTCGCCTGCAAAGTTCCAAAGCAACCTGCCAGTCGCCTTGCAGCTCGCAACCGTCGACCACAGCACCCCAAGTGATCGCATCGGCAGCAGGCTTAAGTGGCGCCAGGCGCCCCAAGATTTGCACAACATATTGCCATCCATGCGATCTGGAGGCACGTAGAACCGCATCCACGCCTGCTTTGTGTGTTGCTCCCAAAATCACAGCTGAAAGGCACGGAGCTTTCAGGCGTTCTGCCGTGCTATGCCACGCTCAAAAAATGAAACACGAAAGCGTTCCGATCGCACTGCTGAACTGCTCAACCGAAGAAGTCCCAAGTTAATCAGTTAATCCGAGTCGCACATCTTGTCCATTGCCAGACTGATGATCGACATGTGTCCGACCGACGACACAGCCAATCTCGCGAGAGAATGCTTCCAGGGATTCCATGAATCAAAACAGCCCAAACGAAAACACAACACTGGTCCAAAGCAGCCAAATCCATGCACAGGCGTGTGCCAGCCCAACGAGGGCCATCAACATCTGTCAAGAGGCTTCCAGTGCTGCGACGTCTCCAATGCACAGAGCATGGAGCCATAAGAGATTGCGTTGGGGGGCAGGCGCCACACCTTCCAACTTGTCACGGGCTAATTTAAGCTACATGTCTTCTGTTTTTGTCAAAAGCTGCCTGCATCTGACGAAGGACCTGGGCTCCGACCAGCCATCCCTGGCCACTGAGTACGGAGGTGCAGCCAATCACATCTGACCTGAGTCGGAATACAACGCAGGTCATCTTTGGCTGAATTGGCTTATGTTCAGGAAATCTGCCAAATGACAAGTCCTGGCAACCAAGCAGCTCAAGAGCGCAAGTGCGCATGGCATCCATATAACCTGCAAAGCGCGAGCACGACGTCCGCTAGCTCAGCCTATCGTACGGACATTGATTGTTATGCATGATGGATTGACATTTGCAATAACCGATAACCGTGTGGGTTCATGTGGTTGTCACATGCAACCACGGGTACATCGCGACCAAGCTTGTTGATGTGTGTCCCATGCGTTTGCGTTGTTGCAAGGAAGCCTTAAAGGGCACTGGACTGGCGACGCAAAACGTTTTGTCACCTTGACTTGAGCCTCCTTCACTGGAAGCATCGATTCTAGCACCCGTCACTTCCTGCATCTTCGATATTGTCGGAAGGTTCACGCCAGATATCGCTAGGGTCTGACATGCGGAGCACGCTTGGCACTTCTGGGTTCCGTCGGCATGTCATCTCGAAACGTCAATGACAGCCACAGCTATAGCAGTCTCTACGACTGACTTGCGTTGAAGGGTGTTTCGCTGTTAAGCTGGGACTGCCCTTCCCAAACCCTTTTTGAAAACATCCCATAGGACAACGAAAACTCAAGCTGAGCACCTGAGCACAGTCAAGAAGCCAAGCGATGAAGCCCACTGCTTCATCCGCGCGAAGCCCTTCATGACACCGGTCAAAGCAATCGAGTCACAGCGGACGCGCATCCAAGGCATCTCGTGGAAAACTTGCAACGCTGTTGTCCACCGCTGGGTCGCGCTGATCGCATGGAAAGTGCTTGCATCAAGAGGTCTCTCAAGCTGCACGAGCTTCACTAGCTTTGGGACAAAGTGCAAGGCTATAGGCCACTCTTTGGCACAAGCACCTCAGATTCGAAGAGAAATGCCTCTTGAACTTGAACAAAAACTGACACTAGCCTGACGCAGCTGCCAAAATGCATTTCAAGGCACGCATGGCCGTGTTGTAGCTTACCAGGTTCGGGGGCACTTGGCGCAGCATCCATTGCAAGCGATTTAGTGCGAGCTCCCAAGCAGAGTGTCTAGAACATGCATTGAGGGCCACATTCTCGTGGAAGACATTGATCTCCACTCTGCAACTTCGAGCAAGGCAAAGTGCATCCTCGGGGTCGACACCGGCATGAAATCAGATCCCATGACCGTGACATGCAAAGGACACGTTGCACATTCCGTCTTCCTGTTGACACCCACATGGTGTGTGTCCTGAAGTGTGGATGCGTGGCAGCCACGGAAGGAAAGACGTTGCAAAAAGGTGGTAACTGTCTTGGGCTTGACTCCTTAGCTGATTGATGGCTGACAGGCTGCTGAACCGTCAACAACAGGCCTGGTATGTTCATCCCGGGTACTGAGCAGACTGAGCATTGCTTGAATGCTACCACAGCGCCATCATCTTCAAGTATCTTCCATGCTGCAACACGATCTCCGTATTCTCCATACGCGCTGTCTGCAACGCGTTCGGCATCCACAGAACGCATCGGCCAGTGGCATCCACGTGACCATCATGCCAGGCCAGGTCAGAAGAGCTGGTGAAGCTCAAAGTGAGATCATGTGAAACCACTGAACATCACTGAACCCCTTTGCTTCGTTTGAGGGGTCAAGCGCAAAATGCTGTGGCAGTCATGCTGAACTAGCACACCGACGCAGCAAGCACGGACTTCCAAAGCAATTTTCCATCGACTAGCTGCCATGGGTGACTCATCTCACTTGCGTCCCCTGCACAAAGCAAGAACGGGGAAAGAAAAGGGCGAGAGAGACAGAGAGCGAGAATACGAGAGAGAGAGAGAGGGCTCCAAGTAGAGAGAGAAAGAACAGAGCTGGAGCGAAAGAGTCTGCTGGCAGATGTTGGCAGAAAGGCCTATAGCTTGGAGAGTGCAAACACTGCCCCGGCCTGGCATGTTTTCGTGCCTCGGCTTTGGCTGAGGCACTCACCTCTTCGTTGCGTGCCTTCTTCCCCTCCAGATCCAACAGTGTGGACATGAAGATCGATGGTCAACTTCCCTTTTCCGAGTATGCGCCTGCCTTGACCATTGAACGGATGCTGATTGAAGTTGAGGCTTCCATGATCTCACTCTTCGTTTTCTTGCCTTCCTGAACAAAGCAAAAGCCCCCTGATGGGCCTTGATGCCTAAGAATGCTGAGAATGGGCACATGGCAGTCCTTCGGCCCCTCTTGTGCTTCCAACAAAGCTTCAACCTTGAAGCCGCTGAGAAGCAGCTTGGCGGAGGCACCTCAGAATGTCACCAAATGATACCACATGCGGCTCCCTCCCTACTGTCCCACTCTATCGGCTTCTCCCCGCTTCTTGCATTCAAGCCTCTCATGCCAGCATGCTTCTCAGCCTCCTCAATCTCCTTCAGGACGTCTTCCTCCGTCATTGCCGCAAGGCGCTGCCGGAGTTGCCGCGCCTGTCGGAACTGATCATTGCGCGCATGCCTCTGCCAAAGAGTCTTCCTGGCTTCCGTCTGTGAGCCGATTTCGAGTTGCCTTTTCTGTGCGGGACTGGTGTTGGAGAGCGGGCTTGTCCTCGACATAAGCGCGCCCCATGGCTCCACGTCGCCTGCAACGCCAAGTCAGAACAAACTGACACGCCCAAGCTCCAACAGATCGGCCTCTGCGGCGGCTGACTCCTTTGACGTTCCTGCTTCTCCTGCCAGTGACTCTGCTGCAGCTGGAGATGCTTCTTGATCTTTCTTTCAACAGCACACACCAACACACAAACACACACGATAAGCCTGTTGGCTCTTGTGCAGATGGAGGGCATGCTGGAACTTCTTGATGCTCTGCGGGCGCATCTCATCCTGAGATATCTTGGGGGGACCAATGGACTTCAATTTCCTTCATTGACCCCAGTGCATCCCAGAGCAACCTGTCCTTTCGAGCCGCCGTCAAAGCCTTTAGATGGGCAAAGAAATCCAACTGGAGGATTTCAGCCTGGCAGTTGGCAAGGCTTTGTCGCTCTGAAGAACTTTTATGCTTTTGTAAAAAAAAAAAACAAAGCACTACACCTCCCTGCCCTCACGGAGGGCCCGCATGCCAGCAGCTGTTGCCGTGAGTGCCGTGCTGAACACATCTGTGTTATACCCGCTTAGCCTTGGCAAAGATGGTCGCGATGTGCGGAAGCGTCACATTAGGATTCCCAATGAACCTCTGGTCACCGGCAGCATACTGATAGCATTTTATAGACAAGCTATGGCAAAGCTGCCACAGCTCCCAGGCGACAATGAAAACACAAAGTACATCGCAAAGAAGTCTCCAAACAATCCAAGCCACGAATCACTCAGCGAAGCATCAGGAGTGCTGAATGCCCGGCAGGCATAGTCCGCAACGTCTTCGAAGAACCTGCAATGGGCCGGCTTCCCTGCTCACAGCCTGCACAGCTCACACCTTTGCCAAGCCAAGCAACTCACGATCGACTCGATGTACATCCAGAAAGGATCTACAAAGATGCACCAGGTCCTGCAGAGCCATATGCCTCTGCACACTGCTCAGCAGGATCTACAAACACGGCCAACAGGTATGGATCCTGCAGGGAAAATGGAGCTGCTGGTATTCTTTTCCCAGAGCTGCTTTTGGCAGGTGCACAAAGTTCAGGAGCGAGTTCCTTGAAAAAAACTCCGCAATCATCTCTGATCCCTCTACACAAGCACTAGAGTCACTCGACCCCTGACCTTGCCTGTTGCAAGGGGCAGTCCATTAGCGAGACTGCTCGCAACATGAGCACCTTCCACGAGAGCATCAGCACGAAGCCACAGTGTGGGCAAGGTGCTCTCCCCCATCAAAGCGTCAAGACATTGAGGATGAGTACGCATAGTTCTGCAGAATTGCCGCAAGACAAGCCAAACATAAGCACGTAGGTCAAAACATGCCACATGCCTCGAACAAATCATCATCCACTATTTTGGCCGTTGAGAAAGCCACCATGACGTCTGTGATGACCTCACCGCACGCGCAACCAAAGCCGCAGCCAAGCAATGCGCTGTACAGTCAAGCCAAGATGCCTTGGGAGAGAGGCTGAGTTCTCCCTCCTTGAGCTTGCACCGACGAACACACTCCTCCCATAGAGACATTTGCACGCCTGAACCTGTGCAAATACGACATCCCACACTCGTGCGCTGATAGTCCTGCTTCACAACGCTGAAGAGGCCGGGGTTCTTGACACCCGCCTGTTGCAGCAAACGTTGTATCTTGCATACAAACAAGAGGACATGCTCGCTATGGCTCCAACTCCAATCCTGCTTCGAAGGCTTTAAAGAAGTGTGCAACAATGTCTACAGCAATTTCATGGGAGAAGCACAGCCCAGCAAGCCTGATCTTTGGGATGTAACTGGTTAAGCGCTGTTTGGAACTGTTCAGTCGGACAGTGCATTGAAATCCATGCAAAATGACTGGTCCTTTTGCTGATGGATCTGCTTGTTGAAAAACCTCAACGATGTCAAACCCGACCTAACCCTTGAAATTGATAGGGGAAATGTGTCTGCCAGTTCGCCATCCTTCATACAAGGCCTCTACATGTCCTTACCCGAAAGCGAGTTCGGGGTATGCACCTTGGCAAAAACGTAGATCAACCTTCCAAGTGCATCTCGGTCCAAGCTGGTGATCCTCTCGGCCACGTACCGTGCAACCTGGCAGCCGCAAACCAAAACGCTTTCTTGCAGACAGGTTCATGCTCAGGCCTCTTGGAAAATAAAGTTGACAACGTTGTTGGACTCCATCATTGTCTGCAACCTCACGGTGTGGTTGCGTATGCTTGGGTATGCTTGCGCGGTGTGAGCACAAGATGCACCGACTAGTGCTGTCGATGGACATGTAGACTGCTGCCATGGGATGTATTTCAGGCAGCCTTTGGAGAAAGCTGACCTGGCACGACAGGCAGGGACAAGCCTTCAGCACGCTTTTTCATGCGGCAGCCTTGTCTTCAGAACTGTTCAGGTAGTCGAAGAAAGGTTTGGCAGCATAACCTTGCAACGCTTTGAGGGGCGATTCGCACTCAAGCTCCCACATTGGCAAAAAAAACAAAACAATGAGAAAAAAACACTACTGGCTGCAGGCACGCAGCGGTCAGCACCACATCCCGAGCGCTCAGACCCTCCAAATTGCCAAAATGTAATTTGCCGACAGTCATGCAATGTGAGGGGCTTCACCCGGACGTACTCCGCCAGTGCTCGTGCGGCAAGGGCTTTGTACAGTGCTGCGGGAGCATGTGCCAAAGGCTTCATCTGCCTGAGCAGGTTCTTGCAATCTACGCGGCTCATGTGCCTAATGCTCGCAACTTCGGGCATCGCAGAAGTCCCAGCCGCCGTCACGCTCTCAGGGCGTTCTTCGTGTTCAGCCGGATCACTCCAATAACTCTGCTGTGGCATTTCTGGCGTGACCTCCGGGACGCCATCCTCCCGAACCTCCAGCTCGCGCATGACGCTGCCAAATTTCGACTTCAACATACCGAGTTCTAGCTTCCGCTGCTCTTTCAGGCCAGTCTCACGTTGACGTTTCCTTGGAATGCTGGTCAGCCAAGAATGGGACCTGTTCCGGGATGACTCCAGGATCGACTCAACTTGCATCTGGACTTCGTGGGAATCGTCGCTGCAACTCTTGAAGATTTCCTCAACATCATCCAGAGTGTAGCCCAGGTCCTCTAACACTGGCAGCAGTGACTCGGCCTGTCGCCGCCGCATACTCTCAGCGCTCGGCCAAGAGCTGGACAACTCCTCCAAGCGTTTTCGTTCTATTTCCTGGTGAACCAATCTCTGCATGTGTGCCTTTTTTGCATGTTTGGATGTGAGCTGTGGGTTCAATGCGGACGGCCTCAATCCGACAGACTGCAGTGTCTTCGCATTCGCATCCAGGCAGGGACCAGGTCCATTTGCCACGGGCAAGTCAGAAGCTTCCTTCGTGTTCTCCTGGTCGGACCCATCCGAAAATGGAAGGGCTGACAGATCTGCAGGATCCCTACAGGGATGCGCTAAGTTCGAAGAACTCGAAGAAGCGGGACCAAGCGAAGGTCCCAACATAGTATGCAACAAGGATTCGTGAACTTCAGGAGAGGGCCAAGCATGGCTGCAATAGTCCAAGCAATGTTTTAGCAAATCGGTCTCCATGGGAATTATGGGAATTGTGCTTTTGTCTAGAAAGTCTTGTCTGTTTGGCAGATCTGGCAGTGGCTGGTCCAAATCAAGAAGCTCGCAAGACTCGCTGGAAGCATCGGAGACATCCGTCGAATCCAACCAGTACGCTTCCTCTTCATCTGCATCGCTGCTGGAACCAGAGGTCACTTCCAGAATCTCTTCTTCAGATGTAACCTCGTGAGCGTCGTCGCTGTCGTATGCCATCATGGAGCACAATACTGGACTGGACAGCTGTTTGCGCAAAAGAACTTGCTACTGAGTCTATGTCTACGACAACTGGTTTCATGCTCGTTGCTAGCCGGAAAAATGGGCAAGCATGTTTGATCCAAAAGTGCTGTTGACCAATTTCGAGCCCGCCCCGCCCCCCCCCCCCCCTCCCAACATGTCACAGCTACCTCTTCCCCGCTCAATCAAGCACTGCAGCAAATCATTTTCACTGCCAAGCACTTTGTGGCATATCGAAGTCTTCCTTCCCAAGCTGCGGCAACGCATCCATCGCCGAACTCACTGCATCCCTTACAAACGCAGCTTGGTCGTCCATGCCAGGTAACAAACAGTCTCTGGCCAGCTTTGTGAGTCCTCGCGACAGGTGTCGTGTTTCCGAAGATGCAAAAAACAACTTGACATCATTGGTCAGCTGTGCCTTTGTCAGCACAGCCAATCTGTCCAATGGATGATGCACAGGCCTGCACAGGCATGCACAGGCAAAAATGCTGATCAGGCCACCGTCCATGCGATTCCAGCCTCTCGGACCACTTCAGCTGGATCATTTTGTAGACTGCCCGCCAAGGCCAACAGGCACGGGTCGCCAGCGAGTTCAGCTCGCGCACCCAGCCTCAGACACACAAGCATTTCAAAGATTGCCATGGAAACTGATCCAGGTTTCCGGCGCTTGGGCCGCCCTGATTCGGAGCAAGAGCTCTTCATCGGACTGCTTGTCAGGGTGATTGGCATCATCCGTGAGCAAGCTCACAAGCCTTCAGCGCTCGACAGGTCTGAACCACGATCCCGCAAAAGGTCAAAGCCGGCGGCCTGTCTACGTAGTCAATTCCGGCCACACCGCTCCAACCAGCGGCAAGTGCGGCACAGCCCCGCACCTTCTGCAGCAGCAATGTACATGTTAGAAACACAAAAAAAAAGCAGCACGGAGGGTCCCTTCCCATGACTGGAACGAACATGATTGAATAAAGCTGTAGGCTGAAACCGCAAAAACCCCAGAGAAGGCTCAGAATTAAGAGGTTCTGAGGGTGGAAGCCTCAAGATCACAATATTCTGAAAACATCTGACATGTTCTGAAAGCCCAGCCGTCAGCCTCCAGGTCCCCGTGCTCCAAACCACCAGCACCCATAATGGCTGCCAGACCCTCTCGGCCAAGGCAGCCGAGGGCTCGGGCTGCTGCTTCTCTCACTGACGCATCGGAGTCCTACCAAAAATCCACGACATCCACAACATCCACGATACACGACATCCACAACATACACATCACTACACAACATACACAACATACCGCATCACCAGCAGCACCACAATAGTCATCGGCCAGGCCTGCAGAAGCCTCAGCAGCCTGGGAATGGCGCGAGGCGACTCTGCTGCTGCGGGCCCAAACTTGCCGAGGGCTTCAGCTGCCGCTTCTCTTCCACGAGCCTGCCAAGCACTGAAAGCCTCAAAAGGTACCTCGGAGGATACCGCAAAAATACCGCAGAATACTGTCATAATGACTCACAGAGGGCCTCTGGATCGCGGAGGCATCCGGCAATGGAGGCCAACATGGCACGGAGGTCGGGAATGGAATGTGAAGGTCCCAACCTCACTGCCAGGTGGCGGGTTTGGACTTCAGCTGCATCCTCTGTCATGATGAGTTGCTCACTCACCCAGGAGACGCAGTCCTCGAAGTCGAGCTGAGAGCGCATCCTCTCCTGCCGGCCACAACTGTGTAGCAGTGCAGCCTGATTGCTTTCACCCGCCAACTAGGGTGGCACGAGCTTCTGGTGTCTGCCAGATGCACAGAAGGAGCACCTCTGAATAGATGGAACCTTAGCCGTTGCAGTAGCGGCGTAGGCACCTGTTGCCGACCCCTTGCGGTTGGACATTTGGTTTCGGTGCCCCCGGAGCTTTGTGCACAGACCACGGCATACTGCGAGAGGAGCTTCAAAAGCTTGGGCAGCCGAGTTGGCTTTCCAAAGCTTGGGCACTTTCTGATGCCCTCGGCAAGGCAAAGCCCGCAACAAGAATGGTGCGACAATGCACAACGCGCTCGTCAACGCGCGCGACAACGAACGACAAAACGCATGCCGCACGGCAAGTCACAACTCACACCACAACGCACGCCACAACGCACGCCACAACGCACGCCACAACGCACGCCACAACGCACGACACAACGCACGACACAACGCACGACAATGTGTGATCGTGTGCGACCCCATCCAGACACAACTGTTGAACCAATACCCTGCATTGCTCCTGGCGACTCCGGCAGCAGCAGGTCGGCTGGTCCACCCTGCTCCAGCAGCCATGCTGTGACTGAAGCGGCCGGAACATTCACAAAGCTCGTGGATGAAGAAGTCCATGCCGCGATAGCTTGTGCTTCGACTGCGGCCATCATCTCTCCTTCCAACTTAAACATCTTACCAGCCAAGTGGACACTGACTGACCGGAGCAGCTCCCGAAGAAGAGTTCTTTGGCCACCAACATCGTTTCTTCTTGGTGGCAGCTCGCGCGCCAGCTGCAGCTTGCATGTCAGCACACATCTCCTACAAGAAACGCACAGGACCCACATCTCAAGTAATGTAACCTGAAACATGCAGTAACTGCGACACAGACTGTGCAAAGCGTGCGCAACCCTCTGCTGGCATCTGAAGCATTCCTGCAGTGTCTCTGAGACAACAGTGGCATCTATCCCAGCCTCATATGCCGGGGGCTAATGCTCGCATTGGACCACATGGGCTGTGCCGAACATGCGAATATGAGTAGACTGCACAATCGCAACAACTGCCTTAGGCTGCCGCCCCTGCTGTGTGAACTTGCTTCGAGATGCGCAAACGACCGATGCGACAGGCAACTCGAAATGCCTGTCGCCTGGCCTGACAACACCATCTTGCGTCGTTCTAACCCCTCATAGGACGGAAGTGGGCGCCTGCTCACTGCAGCGTGCCCACCAAGTAGGTAGCTGATGCAATCTAACCACCATGTGAAGCATCCTGGCATCAACTTCCTTAGTTCTTGCAGATCTGGTAGCAGTTTCCAAGGAAGCAAACAAAAGCCGATGGCAAGCAACCTCCTCGTCGCATGGCATGGATGTCGGCACACTTGGTGCATCTTCATCCAACACGCCACCGTCCTTGTTCACACACATTCTTGTTGCCAGAAGAATCATGGGCGCATGGAACTCTTTAACTTGCTAGTCCTAGCTTCTGTCGGAAAGAGGGACGGTCGCAATTGAAGGAGCTGGTGCTTTGAATAGCATGGGCCTTCCGAGTCCTGCGCCGGATGTCAAGGTGCTGCCGATTTTTCAGTTAACTTTTCTTGGCAAAACCTCTCAACTGTCTGGTCCAAACAGTCCTGAGGTTCTTGACCATGTGGCTTCTTGGGCCATGCGATGGCTGAGCCGCATACCAAGCTGGCCGCTTCATCAGACCCAGGTCGCTGAGCGACGCTTGAGTATGTGGCTGCCGCACGACTACCGACGAGAAAAGGCATAAGCCTGGAAGTGTCCTCTTGCAGTTGCGTTTCCGCACCATGGGGCGCGGTGTTCTCTTCTGCGGTCTCCTCCCTCATCTTTCTTGCACCCCACCGGCCTCCGCAAGCAAACGTTCAAAAGAACCACTGCCATTCTGAATACTGCTACTGCTACTTCTACTGCTACTACTACTATCTAGTACTGCTACTACTGCTACTGCAGTCTCCTATGGCTGCTTGCTGCTACTACTGCTCGGCCTGTGCACTTCAGGGCGCCTGGTCGCTTAACCGCACGGATATTGCCACACCCTGGTGCTTCGCTAGCGTTTGGGTTTGGCATCTTATCTCCGGAAGTCTTTTTGCATCTACGTCCGGGCCTCGTGCACGATGCCTGGCAAAACGCCGTAAATTCCAGTGTTTTGGGCGTTTTGGCCTAGCGCATGAACAGTCACAATTGTGACAACGCGTCTTTGCAGAAACAGGAAGCGTTCTTCGGCGGTAAATCGCTGTAAATACCACTGTTTTGGGCATGTCCGCAAAGGGCACGAACTTGTGGTCAAACACATCCTTCTGCGGTATGCTGCGGAAAGATGCCAGAAAACATTCTGTAAATAGTAGCGTTTTGGGTATGTTCGCAAAAAGGCATGAACACTTGCGACAGCGTGTCTAGCCGCAGAAAAAGCATACATTCTTGTGCAGCATGCGGTTCAAAAGCAAAAATGCAGAAACCTCCCAAAAACATTCTCGGAAGATTTTCGCATGGTCTGGGTAGCCCGATTGCTGGTGAGCAAGCCGAAGTCAGTAGAAGAGCAAGGATCGGCCACAAAGGGTTTTTCTCTCCGTCATACGTTCTCTGATATCCTCACAGCGGGGCAATCTAGCAGGCAACCATGGGTCATGCCGCGTAGAGCAGACTATACAAAATAGCAAGGAAAACTTCAGAACATGTTGTGCTGATGAGATCTGATGAAGGCCAAAGGGAAACGCTCAGAGAATCCTCTCTACACACGACATTTTGAGAGCACAAGTCAACACAAAGGACTACACTGCCTCGGGCGTTGCCGCTGCCCAAGCTCTCGGATGCAACTTGCTGACTTTCTTTGTTGAGCTCACCTTCGACTGCCACCGTAGCCATGCCCAATGCAAGCCTCCGTTCGATAGCCCGTGCCTCTTCCTCTTGCATCAGCTGCTCCGACAAGGTCCTGTGCTCAATCGGGTCACATGATGTGATCTAGCAATGGCCAGCACAATAGTGCAGATTTGTCAGTCTTTGCATTCCTCCGCGGCCACTTCTGGAACAACAACACTGGCCGAACATGCATCTGAATAGAGGCAGATGACCTGCGGAATTCTGAACAGCACATGCCATCAAGCAAGCACTGAGGCGGACCAAAAGAATAAGGCATCCACCAAAAGGTTTCGGACCTCGTGTCCAACATCAATCCCATCCTGCACAACCTGCGGCACCCAAGCTCAGCATGCTCAGCGTGGATCTTGGTTCTCTGGCATTCTTTGGTGCAGGCCTGCTGCGGAAGTAAAGCAGGTGCCTCTTGCCTCATGTCACAACAGCAAGACAAGGCTCCAGTGAGCTTGGGCCCGGCTTCAGGCTGCTGCGATGGCAACTGGAGCAACAAACCGTGCGGTGCTGCAGACCTCAACCGGTGCCAACCGACAGACAACTTCGTTGAAGTAGCAAGGTCAAGAGATCGAGCGCCCGACAGAACAGTGCCACTGGTCAGATCACCAATGCTTAAGGCGGAGGCAAGCGGAGCCATGAGCCACGTATCTCAGAATCATGAAGAAATCAGGGCATCTATCGTTTCCACTGGCTTCATCGAACTACCTTCTGGTCGCAAAGTGTGCGCGTGAGAGCTGCTTACTGGTGCAACTTGCGGCATGGTCGCAGGCTTTGAGAAATTGGGCGGCTGTGCACTGCAAGTTCGCTGGAGAAGCGGAGAAGCTGCCGCTCCAAGACCCCAAGATCATGAATCACGAGAATCACGACATGCACCGACAAATGCTTTTTTATCAGCGATAAGCTCCAGCACGCCTCACTATTTTGCTAGCTGGAACCGAACAAGACAAGCAGTCGACATACCACGAGATGCCGCTGTCTCGCTCTATCCGGAGCTTGTGAAATATCCCTTCCACACCTTCGCGCCGAAACAACCGCAACATTGCACCAATCGTGTGTTGGCCAGGTCTTTGAGAACGCAGTAAGAATTCAAACTCTTACTGACTTCTTCTGACTTTTCCTGTGAACTGTTGTTCCAGTTTCTGCACGCGAGTGTAGAATGGTTGACCTGTGAGGTCTCAGCTGACGCCACATGCAGCAGCAAATAACAGCAGCGTGCCGTACATCCTCAAGCTCACCACATTGCTCATGCTGAGAACCTATGGACATCAAAGAGATAACGAAGCTGGCCTGTGCTGCTTACCCATGGAGAGGCTTGCGGCAAGTCCTCATGCAGTTACTGCATATGTGGCAATGGAACCAACTCTGCAGCGTAAGCTTCTCCTCCTGGCCAAGCTTGGCCATTCAGCCAGGCAATGGAGGTCCCGCACCTTAGCGGTGTCGGAGCTGATACGAAGGAAATCTCAGCAGAGCGCAAAGCCCTCGCAACCAACACAACGCTTGATCACTCCAGCCCCGGCCATGCGAAAAGAAGGCACTGCGGCTCTGATACCCATCCTCATCAAGAAGCCCAAACGAAGAAGAACGTTGACAATCAGTACCTTTCCAAAACAAGCCCACAAGCACCCGCCACCATCTGCCACTCAAAAATACCAAAACTTAAAAATCTTCGAGCACACATGCACCCTTCTCGTTCCAGCGTGTGCTGGTCCTTTACGCTTGCCGGTCAATGTCGCAAGTGTGCTCCTTTATTTGCTGCGTTTGTTTCTGCACGTGAGCGGCAGCATCATTGAAGCAACCTTTTCTCCTGGGCTCGGCTTGCAAGGCCTGGCCAACAATATTCAGATTTGGGAAGGACTCAACACCCTCTCGGCGATCACCTCCTACTCCCTTTCGCCAGGTGCATTGGAACTCTCTCTTTTTCGTGTTCTTCTGCTGTTTCGTCCCGATGTGGTCTCCTGCAGTGTCTACTTCACGGCTCTATCACTATCACTTCTGAGGTTGACCCGCTTTGAGGGCCGGGTCTTTCACAGCCTCACCTTGAGGTAAGGAGACCACAGGACCGGTGAGCGACAGCTCTGCAGCTCTGCACTGGAGGACAAGACTTCGGCCACCACTCCAAGGTAATTTTTTTTGCCAGAAGGAAGAATTTACATTAAAAAAAACACCTCCCCGTGGCAAAATCGCACCCAACCACGGAGTACCGCAAAGTCACTAAGGCATGTGCCGTTCCACTGCGGCCAGGCCCAGGCCTGGTGGAACCTTGCCCAAGCGTCAAGAAAGGACTTTTTGCAGTGCAGTAGACGGTTAGCAACTGTTTTGTGAAAGAGACAGCCTTGCCCAATTTTCATGGCTGGACGGACACTTTTTTTGTTCGGTTGATTGGTGGTCGAGCAAATGACATCAGCATGCAAGGATGAGGCCAGGACCATTCCTGGCCTGGACCTTGGCTGACGTCCATGCTTTGAGCACCCAAGAACCACAAGGACCTGCAAGCTAGGCACTTGGTTGCCATTCCGGAGCTTGAACGGCTGGTTGCCATTCCTGGGCGTGGTTTGGTGGCGGCTGCCATGCTGGAGCCGGGACAGGATGGGCTGGATGGGCTGGATGGGCAGGATGGGCAGGATGGGCTGGCCACTCTTGAGCGTGCGCTGTCGGGGCTGGTGGGGCCTGGGCTGGATGGGGTGGGAGCCATTCTTGGCCTGGGGCAGGATGGGCTGGATGGGCTGGATGGGCTGGATAGGCTGGATTGGCTGGATGCCATTCCTGAGCCTGTGCTGCTGGAGCTGCTGGGGCTGTTGGAGCTTCCTCCCAGCCTCCTTGCCGTTCTCGCGATCTCGATCGCTCGCGAGGAGGTATATGAACCGGCCTCACGAGACGTTGAAAGGACATGGAACATGCAGACGGCGGGCCTTCTGTTCCAAGGCACGGTGGTGCTCCGGGCCCCCCCGGCATGAAAGTGGCAGGTATCTTCATGCGAGCTTGCCTGAAGGCTCAATAACGAGCCAAGACTCCATGAGACTGAAAGCTCCATCATTCTCATCATTCTGGCATGAACTGGATAAACAAAAGGAACCAGAAAGGACTGACACGATACCTTGCATGCAAGTCGCTCACTGCCAAGCATCACTGGGGAGAGCTGCCGAAATTGTGGTTGTCCCTGAAATCCGGCCTTGCTCGGGCTAAGCTCTTCGCCACTGCATTTCGCCAAGCATATGCTGAACCACCAAAAGCAAAGGACGGGAAGCATAGTCCCAGGTGGCAACCAATCCTCCGCCGCAAAATTGCTGTGTTGTTTCGCCGCTATCGTAAGAAAAAGCAATCTAGCACATCCTGCGCAGAGGGCATGAAGGATACAGCACCTGGTCACCCGCGAGACATTCGGAGTTCTGCTGCAAACATTGCAAGCACTCCCTCACCGCACCTGCGGGCTTGTGACCCGATCTCTCATCGCAAACAAACACGCCAGGCTGGTAAACGCGACCTTGTATACTGCCATGTACAACAACATCTGGCAACTCATCTGTTCATAGAGGGGAGTGAGCGCACCACCGCCTGTGCTAAACGGATTTGCGCCGGTTGTCGCAGCCTGCAGCTTCTGCTTGTGCGCCAACGCTGCTGCCGCCTGCATTCCAGGACTGGACTACTGTGGGAAGGGAAATATTAAAGCAGGAATCAGTGTTCATCAGCGTTCCACATCTCCAAACTCCAGCGCCTTCGCCGCCTCCTCTATCTCTCTTTCCTTTGCCGCCTCCTCTTCCGCCTCCTTGATCAGCATCTGGCGAGCAGGGATCTTGACAGACTGCCTGCTGAGCTTCTTGGATCACATTGGATCACCCGACTACAATCCATAGGCCCATGCCCAGCCTCTTCGCTCAACAGATCTGCCTGAGGGCAGCTACAGCTCCGCACAATCTTGGCGGGAAAGCGTCAGGCCTGCTTCTCTGCAAGTTCCAGGGCAAGCTTTCTGTCCTTCCCAGCTCGAAAGTTCAAGGGGGCATCTACACAAAGCGGCAAGGTGTCCCTCAAGGTCCTCTTCATTCTGCACTATGCTCGCTGTCGCTCCACTCGTTGCCTCGAAAATCGCATCATGATGCAGAGCAAAACAGCCGACTGTGACTTTCCCAAGCGACGCACTGATGACGCAGGAGCGGGCTTTGGCTTTTCTGGCGGCGGAGGCCTGCCCAAACAGACTTGCGGTCTGCAATGTCTCGTTCACCACACGCGTGCGCCAAGTGACTTGGAAGGCTCATCTTTCCGCCCCAGGCTCAGAAGAGATGCCAAGGACATCAGTGCCTGCACAAGTTGCAGAGCGTGATGCGTGCCAGAAAAAATACAGCCGCCACTGTCAGGCACCTGCTGCCACGTCACGCGAGGGCCGATGCCGAGACAGCCAAAGACAGCTAAGGGACCGGGGAAATATGTTTTTGTCCAGATGCATTGCTTGATTGAGAACTGCTAGTACTAGCTGTTACCAGCTGCTAGCTTGTGGTCTGGCGGTGAGTTGCCTCGCCAGGCTGTATGTGTGTTGAAGGCCCACGGCCAATGGACTAACTGCAATCACTGCTGTTGTCATGGTGTGACGGGCTGAATCTTGGCAACTGAAGCAAGTGATACCCTGTGCTTGGCAATCCGCCTCCAACCCTGAAGCTACCAGCCAAGGCTAGTAAAGCCTTGACGGCTTGAGCTCAAGGCAACACAGGAGCACCAACGTAATTCATGGCACAGTGCGGCGCTCGGGGAGCCAGCACGCAATCAAGTGTACAAGCAGCGCACCTAGAACATCGAAACTCACAAGTGCTTCATGGCTTTGGGCATCGACGTCGTCCTGGATTCTAGCTCACTCTTTGAGGCTGCCGGCATGGCAGAGGCTGAACAGCCGGTAGTGGATGAAAACTGGATTTTCCGAGCCTACGATATGCCTCACCAGGTCACAGAGCACCATCTCTGCAGCCACTGCTTTTTCGGCAACATTCTGCGGTCACCACAACATCAGCCCATTGGCTTGACATTGTCGTGTCCTCTGACTTCGGGCAGGTTTCTGCCTGTGCAACCGCAGCAAGAGAACATGAAACAACTAAGGAGACAACTCATGAAACATGCATAATGAGGACGAAGGGTAGCAAACGCCCACACTGCATTAGGGCCCGGACCCAGACGATTTTGAAGTAACGTTGCCCTTGACACTTTGAAATGGCCAACAAACACCGGCAACAACCTGAGAAGACACCATCTAAGCACAGCGCAGACGATGTTTGCGGATGGACAGCATTCCTGCTCCATGTGGTGGGTGCGAAGTGGTTGCACGTAGCATTTGCGGAAAGCTCTGGTGCCTCTTGGCACTGTCTTCTTCATCAGACCTTCCGGCAAACTGCAGCTCAACCCACATTCCAGTCATGCCGCCGAGCTGTTCAAGCTGCGCTC